TATACTGAACAAAAGTATAAACGCAACATGTGAAGTGTTGGTCCCATGTTTCATGAGCTGATATAAAAGATCCCAGAAATGTTCCATACACACAAAAAGCTTATTTCTATAAAGTTTAGTGCACAAATTCGTTTACATCCCTGTTAGTGAGTATTTCTCCCTTGCCAAGATAATCCATCCACCTGACAGGTGTGGCATATCAATAATCGGATTAAATGACATGATCATTACACATGTGCACCTTGTGCTGGGGACAATAAAAAGCCACTCTAAAATGTTCTGTTTTGTCACACAGCACAATGCCACCAATGTCTCAAGTTTTGAGGGAGAAATTGGCATGCTGACTGCAGGAATGTCCACCAGAGCTGTTACCAGAGAATGTAATGTTAATTTCTCTACCATAAGCCGCCTCCAACGTCGTTTTAGAGAATTTGACAGTACGTCCAACCAGCCTCACAACTGCAGACCACGTGTAACCACATAAGCCCAGGACCTCCACATCCGGATTCTTCACCTGCTGGATCGTCTGAGACCAGCCACCTGGACAACTGATGAATCTAAGGAGTATTTCTGTCTCTAATAAAGCCCTTTTGTGCAGAAAAAAAAACATTCTGATTGGCTGGGCCTGGCTCCCGAGTGGGTGGGCCCCTGCCCAGTCACATGCCCAGTCATGTGAAATCCATAGATTAGGGCCTAATTTATTTATTTCAATTGAATGATTTACTGTAACTCAGTAAATTGATTATCTTGGCAAGGGAGAAATATTCACTAACTGTGATGTAAACTAATTGTTGCGTTTATATTTTTGTTCAGTATATATAAACAAAGTGTTTCCATTCCCCTTTAACCCACTCCAGTGTGTCGCCAGTGTTTATGTTAATGTAGGCTATAGGGCTCTATTTTAAAAACCTAACGCTACAGTAAATCGCTATAGGTTCGGGGGTACATCAGAAATATTTTTGCTATTTTCACAACCGGAATTATGGGCACAGTAGCTGGCGGTGGGCTGGGTTTTGATGAATAAACAAGTTGTGGGTGTGTTGAGGCTTGACCCCTCACTGGCTAATCAGAACGTGTTCCATTGCTAAGCTTCAAGTTGTGTATCTACTGTATTTTATGTATTGCGTTGTCATCAACTCCTATTCGAACGTTAGTCCGTTATAACCTAGTTTGTTAAATAGCCTACAGAAACTAAATAACAACATGTACAGTATATAGGCCTATAAAATCTTTGCTAAATATGTTCAACATGTTTGTAGTCCACATTGTAAGAAGCATTCGCACTGATATAGAGGCTAGGCATTATGTCTGCCATGTCTGAGCCATGGACATGCCAAACGTTGTCAATAAGCAAGATTTTATTCACTATCGACAATGCTTAGAAAGAGAGTGAATAATACAATTAGAATCAAAACGAAAACAACAACTTGTTTTAGATTAAGGCTATGTTTAAATACAGTTACAGGCACCATACTTGCTCCCAGTGGGCGTATAATATTAAGGTAGACTACATCAAGGCTTTTATGCACGTCCAAATTAATAACGGGAGCTGGCAAAAATAAGGGGTTAAATATGTGTCCCAAAAAAAACGAAACGTTTCCAGAGCTTTCTTGTATCTCCTATATGTAGGACAGACACTGTCTTTTTTTCCCATTTAGAAATGCGTTATTCAATGCGTTTCTATGGGCTATAGTACTAAAGGTCATATTTAATATTTTAGCAAATATTCTTTACCTAAAGGGGGTCCTAAAATTTAAAATCAAATACCTAAATGATCCATGGTATGACCATCTTAAAATAATTCCATATGTTAGCTTAGTACCCCCCCCCCCCTCTCCCAATGTTGTGGAGGCCAATGACAACATGAAGCTGGAGGTGTGGGACAAGGATGTGTCAGCTGACGACCACCCGGGGACCTGTTCCACCACAGTAACAGATGGAGCCCATAGTATGGAACGTTTCCTGGGGCAGAGAACCCTCAACTGTAGCTACAGCGAGACAGCAGCTCTGTCCCAAGAGGATTAACCTTGACCTTCAACCTTTGACCCTACTCTCATGTGAGTGGCTCATCCCTTGGCAGATGTGGCTAGGATCCTGTAGCACAGACAGACAGACGGCTGCTAAAAGATAAGACTTCCAGCAGCAGCCTGTGTTTGTGTTTGGCGCCACAGAGAGAGGAGAGAGGGGTATGTTCTGTAGCCAGTGTATATTGTCACTGTGGGAATGGCGCATATTATTACACCTTTTAATTAGCTCTGTAGTCTTCTGTACTTCTTTAATACAAAAAGTTTATTAATTAGATCTTGTAATATTAACCACAAGTGGATTCACTGCATTCAAAGTGATTGAGGATAAAACCAAAAGGTTTTACAACTCATCCAGTTGATAGGGCCCTGTGATGAAGCTTCTATTGAAGCCAGAGACACTGTTTGTATGTGGCTTCACAGAGAGAGTGGTATAACTGTAGTGTGTATAGGCTTTGTCCCACATGACACCCTATTCACTTTACAGTGCACTACTTTTGAACATTAGTGCACTATATAGGGAATAGGGTGACATTTGGGACGTAAACATTGTCACTGTAGGAGTGGTCCTTATAATACCACTCCTACTGAAACAGTGGGCTGTGTGGCGCCTGTTGTCTTCATATAGATAGTGATCAATGGTATTACTGATGAATTATTCTAAACTCTATGCAGTACTATTTAGCATCTCCACCCTTAGCAATGCCATTTGAGTAAGACCTTTAAACAGGTCAACATTCACAAGGCTGCAGGGCCAGACGGATTACCAGGACATGTACTCCGAGCATGCGCTGACCAACTGGCAAGTGTCTTCACTGACATTTTCAACCTGTCCCTGACTGAGTCTTTAATACCAACATGTTTCAAACAGACCACCATAGTCCCTGTAACCAAGAACACTAAGGTAACCTGCCTAAATGACTACCGACCCGTAGCACTCACGTCTGTAGCCATGAAGTGCTTTGAATGGCTGGTCATGGATCACATCAACACCATTATCCCAGAAACCCAAGACCCACTCCAATTTGCATACCGCCCCAACAGATCCACAGATTATGCAATCTCTATTGAACTCCACACTGCCCTTTCCCACCTGGACAAAACGAACACCAACGTGAGAATGCTATTCATTGACTACAGCTCAGCGTTCAAGAACATAGTGCCCTCAAACCTCATCACTAAGCTAAGGACTCTGGGACTAAACACCTCCCTCTGCAACTGGATCCTGGACTTCCTGATGGGCCGCCCCCAGGTGGTAAGGGTAGGTAACAACACATCTGCCACGCTGATCCTCAACACGGGGGCCCCTCAGGGGTGCGTGCTCAGTCCCCTCCTGTACTCCCTGTTCACCCATGACTGCATGGCCAAGCACGACTCCAACACCATCATTAAGATTGCTGAGGACACAACAGTGGTAGGCCTGATCACTGACAACGATGAGACAGCCTATAGGGAGGAGGTCAGAGATCTGGCTGTGTGGTGCCAGGACAACAACCTCTCCCTCAACGTGATCAAGACAAAGGAGATGATTGTGGACTACAGGAAAAGGAGGACCGAAAATGCCCCCATTCTCATCGACGGGGCTGTAGAGGAGCAGGTTAAGAGCTTCCAATCACACCAAGACAGTAGTGAAGAGGCCACGACAATGCCTATTCCCCCTCAGGAGGCTGAAAGGATTTGGCATGGGTCCTCAGATCCTCAAAAAGCTCTACAGCTGCACCATCGAGAGCATCCTGACTGGTTGCATCACCGCCTGGTATGGGAACTGCTCGGCCTCTGACCGCAAGGCACTACAGAGGGTAGTGCGTACGACCCAGTACATCACTGGGGCCAAGCTTCCTGCCATCTAGGACCTCTATACCAGGCGGTGTCAGAGGAAGGCCCTAAAAATGGCCAAAGACTCCAGGCCCCCTAGTCATAGACTGTTCTCTCTGCGACCACACGGCAAGCAGTACCGGAGCGCCAGGTCTAGGGTCCAAAAAGCTTCTTAACAGCTTCTTCCCCCAAGCCATAAGACTCCTGAACAGGGAATCTCTGTCCATTTGATACTCTAGTGGCACCTCCTGAGTGGCGCAGTGGTCTAAGGCACTGCATCACAGTGCTAACTGTGCCACTAGAGATCCTGGTTCGAATCCAGGCTCTGTCGCAGCCGGCCGCGACCGGGAGACTCATGGGCGGCGCACAATTGGCCCAGCGTCGTCCAGGGTAGGGGAGGGAATGGCCGGCAGGGATGTAGCTCAGTTGATAGAGCATGGTGTTTGCAACGCCAGGGTTGTGGGTTCGATTCCCACGGGGGGCCAGTATAAAAAATATATATATATATGTATTCACTAACTGTAAGACGCTCTGGATAAGAGCGTCTGCTAAATGACTAAAATGTAAATGGAATCAAATGGCTACCCGGACAATTTGCACTGCCCCCACCCCCCTCCCTCTTTTACACTGCTGGTAATCTCTGTTTACTATTTATGCATAGTCACTTTAACTCTACCTACATGTACATATTACCTCAATTACCTCAAATAACATGTGCCCCCGCACATTGACTCTGTACCAGTACCCACTGTATTTAGCCTCACTACTGTTATTTTACTGCTGCTGTTTAAGTATTTGTTATTTTATTTTTTACTTTTGTTTATTTTAGTAAATACTTTCTTAACACTTATTTTTCTTAAAACCACATGGTTGGTTAAGGGCTTGTAAGTAAACATTTCACTGTAACGTCTAAACCTGTTGTATTCGGCACATGTGACAAATGCAATTTTAATTGATTGAACTGTTTATTCACTGGACTGGCCTTTTGACATGATCTGGAAAATAATTTGTTCAATCAGCATTTCAGATAGTATCAGAATTTCTGTCTCCTGGTAATATAGGGTGTGTTCTCATTGGTTAAGGCATCACTAAGTAGTCCTACATACCACCTGTGGGTCATCATTGCCTGTGGGTGTGTGTATGTGCGTGCAAGTGAGTGTGTGTGTGTGTGTGTGTGTGTGTGTCTGAGGTCTTTATAAACAGCAAGATGGCACAGTAAGGACCATCAGCAGTTGGGTGACTAGAGAAAGACAGACGTCCATCTCAATAATATCCAGGTAAGACATGATCTGTTGTTCTGGAGCTGTTCTTCTCTTATTCTACCACTCTCTCTCTCTCTGTCTCTGTCTTTGTCTCTCTTTCTCTCTCTTTCTCTCTGTCTCTTTCCCTATCTCTGAGTCACTGTCTCTCTCCCTCTCTCTCTCTCTCTCTCTCTCTCTCTGAGTCGCTGTCTCTCTCTCTCTCCCTCTATCTCTCCCTCTATCTCTCTCTCTATCTCTGAGTCGCTGTCTCTCTCTCTCCCTCTATCTCTCTCTCTGAGTCGCTGTCTCTCTCTCTCCCTCTATCTTTCTCTCTGAGTCACTGTCTCCCCCTATCTTCCACTCTCCCTTTCTCTCTCTCTCTCTCTCTCTCTCTCTCTGAGTTGCTATCTCTCTCTCTCTCTCTTTCTCTATCTGTCTATTTCTCTCTCTTCCTCCACTGACTAATCTCATAATTCTGATATTATGTCCTGATCTTTCACCTCTATTTTTACTCCTGTCTGAATACAGTTTGTAGTGTTAGTTTCAAGCTCTTATGGACACCCATCTGACATGTTTACATCTTCCCCTCCACTCCACTCCTCTCCTCTCCTCTCCTCTCCTCTCCTCTCCCCTTATTATTAAAATGATGAATATGATTATGATGAATTATTATGATATTTGTATTTATTATTATAATTAATGTAATTATTATTAGGTGTGGGACGATAACGTCGGACCAGATGAACGCCTGGGAACCTGAACCACCACCATCTACCCAGGAACACACATCGAGACCTGCCACCTGAAGAGAGGCACCGTCTACTACACCTACAGCTACCAGAAGGATCACCAGCAACAGAAGGATGGTTAGATTGTAACCTATGACCTTCTATCTGATTGGTTCTCTCACCCTGTCACTCATGTATTCACTTCCTTATAGCATAAATAAAAAAAAACATGCTTTACGGCAAGATGGTCTCAGTCTGGCTTAATTTTTTTTTTTTATAACATATTTTTTATGTTATTTTATTGTTTTATGCTTTCCCAGAAGATGTCTTAGATTGGTCCATAGAATATTAAAAGGGATAAATCAATATTTCTACTAGATTTGAGATTTTATGTCAAAGCTTTTTACAATTCAACATTTACCTTTTACAGTAAACCATTATTGTGCTTAAACTTGAGCTTAATATAACTTTTTGTTATTCTAAGCTTTGGCCTTCATTCCTAATCAGCGTATCAGATAAATACAAAACTGTTGACAGTACTGTACGTCACAAAACCGTATTTAGTTTGGTTTAGAGACATCACTGAGAACGGACCAGCTGTGGGTCTCCATTGCCTCTTTGCAATGTGTACGTGGGTGGGTACAGTATGTGTAAGGGGGGGGGGGGGGTTGGTATGTTTATGACAGGGTGCCTGGGTAAGGTCCTTATGAAGGGGAACAGTTATGTTACTGTATGTTATCTTAAGGGTCCAACCTGGGACGACATGCTGGGAAGCTGCAACCCCACCATCAGCACAACCACAACGTTGTCAGGGAGCACTCCGATATACTTACCGTTTCACATATGATCTAAAAAGCTAAACTGATCGTAGATCATCTTTTATGAAGACGCTTTATGATTACGAGCCCAGATCAGGGCCAGTATCCACATCAGAGTAGGGTTGCCGAGCTAGGATCAGTTTTAGTCTTCAGATCATAATGAATAATATTATACAATATATAACTTCTTCTTTAAGAGGCTCCTCTGTCCTCCACTCGTTACCTGTATTAATGGCACCTGTTTGAACTTGTTATCAGTATAAAAGACACCTGTCCACAACCTCAAACAGTCACACTCCAAACTCCACTATGGCCAAGACCAAAGAGCTGTCAAAGGACACCAGAAACAAAATTGTAGACCTGCACCAGGCTGGGAAGACTGAATCTGCAATAGGTAAGCAGCTTGGTTTGAAGAAATCAACTGTGGGAGCAATTATTATGAAATGGAAGACATACAAGACCACTGATAATCTCCCTCGATCTGGGGCTCCACGCAAGATCTCACCCCATGGGGTTAAAATGATCACAAGAACGGTGAGCAAAAATCCCAGAACCACACGGGGGGACCTAGTGAATGACCTGCAGAGAGCTGGGACCAAAGTAACAAAGCCTACCATCAGTAACACACTACGCTGCCAGGGACTCAAATCCTGCAGTACAGACGTGTCCCCCTGCTTAAGCCAGTACATGTCCAGGCCCGTCTGAAGTTTGCTAGAGTGCATTTGGATGATCCAGAAGAGGATTGGGAGAATGTCAGATGAAACCAAAATATAACTTTTTGGTAAAAACTCAACTCGTCGTGTTTGGAGGACAAAGAATGCTGAGTTGCATCCAAAGAACACCATACCTACTGTGAAGCATGGGGGTGGAAACATCATGCTTTGGGGCTGTTTTTCTGCAAAGGGACCAGGACGACTGATCCGTGTAAAGGAAAGAATGAATGGGGCCATGTATCATGAGATTTTGAGTGAAAACCTCCTTCCATCAGCAAGGGCATTGAAGATGAAACGTGGCTGGGTCTTTCAGCATGACAATGATCCCAAACACACCGCCCGGGCAACGAAGGAGTGGCTTCGTAAGAAGCATTTCAAGGTCCTGGAGTGGCCTAGCCAGTCTCCAGATCTCAACCCCATAGAAAATCTTTGGCGGGAGTTGAAAGTCCGTATTGCCCAGCGACAGCCCCAAAACATCACTGCTCTAGAGGAGATCTGCATGGAGGAATGGGCCAAAATACCAGCAACAGTGTGTGAAAACCTTGTGAAGACTTACAGAAAACGTTTGACCTGTGTCATTGCCAACAAAGGGTATATAACAAAGTATTAAGAAACTTTTGTTATTGACCAAATACTTATTTTCCACCATAATTTGCAAATAAATTCATTAAAAATCCTACAATGTGATTTTTTTTCTGGATTTTTTTTCCTCATTTTCTCTGTCATAGTTGACGTGTACCTATGATGAAAATTACAGGCCTCTCTCATATTTTTAAGTGGGAGAACTTGCACAATTGGTGGCTGACTAAATACTTTTTTTCCCCACTGTATGTCTCCACATGCCTGACTGAGATGTGAGGTCATTCCTCAGGATCTTCGGTGTGTGCGTGTGCGTGTGCGTGCGTGCATGTTTGCCAATGGTATGATATCCAGGTTGCGTCTCCCCTGCTTCTACAACAACACCACTGAGGCAGAATTTGACTTTATTCAAGCAAGGTAGTTATTGATGGCTGATAGAGAATTGATAAAAAATTGGTGGGAAATTACTACACTGTCTCAAACTGATTAGGTGATGGAGCCTGGCCTTTGTGAAGAAGATTATGTTTGATGGCATTGGTATCAGTCACAACAAGACAACCCATTGGATAATCACAGTATTGTCATTAATAACGTGACAGCCCATTGGATAATCACAGTATTGTCATTAATAACGTGACAGCCCATTGGATAATCACAGTGTGGTCATCAATAACGTGACATCCTATTGGATAATCACAGTGTGGTTATTAATAACTTGACAACCCATTGGATAATCACATTGTTGTCATTAATAACGTGACAGCCCATTGGATAATCACAAAGCCCTTGGTCTTTTCTTGGTCTTCCATTCCCTCTTTCATAGCTTCCACTCCTTTCCTTCCCTAGCTTCCTTTCCTCTCCTCCTTTTCTAGATCCCGTTCCTCATTTCCTAGAATTCTTTCTTATTTTCCTTTACTTTCCTCCTTTCTTAGTTTCCTTTCCTCATTCACTTTCCTAGGTTCCTTTCCTCCTTTCCTAGGTTCCTTTCCTTGATCTTTCCCATCTTCCATTCCTCCTTCCCTAGCTTCAATTCTTCTTTCCTAATTTCCTTGTCCCTTTTTTTCCCTAACTTCCTTTCCTCTTCGCCTTTCCTACTTTCTGTTCCTTTCCTGGCTTCATTTCCTAGCATTCCTTTCCTGGCTTCATTTCCTAGCATTGCTTTCCTGGCTTCATTTCCTAGCATTCCTTTCCTGGCTTCATTTCCTAGCATTCATTTCCTGGCTTCATTTCCTAGCATTCCTTTCCTGGCTTCATTTCCTAGCATTCCTTTCCTGGCTTCATTTCCTAGCATTCATTTCCTGGATTAATTTCCTAGCATTCCTTTCCTGGCTTCATTTCCTAGCATTCCTTTCCTGGCTTCATTTCCTAGCATTCCTTTCCTGGCTCTATTTCCTTTATTTTCTCCCCTCCTTTGCTTTCCTAGCTCCCATTCCTACTATCCTTTCCTAGCTACCTTTCCTTTCCTACTTTCCTAGCTTCCTTTTGTTGGTCTTTGCACACTCTTGGCATTCTCTCAGCCAGCTTCATGAGGTAGTCACCTGGAATCCATTTCAATTAACAGGTGTGCCTTCTTAAAGTTAATTTGTGGAATTTATTTCCTTCTTAATGCGTTTGAGCCAATCAGTTGTGTTGTGACAAGGTAGGGGTGGTAAAAGACCAAGTCCATATTATGGGAAGAACAGCTCAAATAAGCAAAGAGAAACGACAGTCCATCATTACTTTATGACATGAAGGTCAATCAATACGGAAAATGTCAAGAACTTTGAAAGTTTCTTCAAGTGCAGTCGCAAATACCATTAAGCGCTATGATGAAACTGGCTCTCATGAGGACCGCCACAGGAAAGGAAGAACCAGAGTTACCTCTGCTGCAGAGGATAAGTTCATTAGAGTTACCAGCCTCAGAAATTGCAGCCCAAATAAATGCTTCACAGAGTTCAAGTAACAGACACATCTCAACATCAACTGTTCAGAGGAGACTGTGTGAATCAGGCCTTCATGGTCGAATTGCTGCAAAGAAACCACAACTAAAGGACACCAATAATAAGAAGAGACTTGCTTGGGCCAAGAAACACAAGCCTTTGGTCTGGAGTCCATATTGGAGATTTTTGACTGTTGGAAAATCATTCCAGGTGAAGCTGGTTGAGAGAATGCCAAGAGTTTGCAAAGCTGTCATCAAGGCAAAGGGTGGCTATTTGAAGAATCTCAAATATAACATATATTTGGATTTGTTTAACAGTTTTTTGGTTACTACATGATTCCATATGTGTTATTTCATAGTTTTGATGTCTTCACTATTTTTCTACAATGTAGAAAATAGTAAAAATAACGAAATCCCCTTGAATGAGTAGGTGTTCTAAATCCTTTGACCGGTAGTGTATATTTATACTACGGACTCCGACATTGCTCATCCTAATATTTCTTTATTTTCCATAGGGCGGCGCACAATTGGCCCAGCGTTGTCCGGGTTTGGCCGATGTAGGCCGTCATTGTAAATAAGAATTTGTTCTTAACTGACTTGCCTAGTTAAATACAGGTTAAATAAAAAATAAAAAAAGTATATTATTTTACTTTTCGATTTGTTTATTGTTAGATACTACTGCACTGCTGGAGCTAGGAACACAAGCATTTTGCTACAACCGCAATAACATCTGCTAAATATGTGTATGTGACCAATAAAATTTGAATTTATTATTTTATTTTATTTATGTGAATGTGTCTAAAGCATGTTAGAATACGCTCCAAAACAACTCATATTACATCACAATCCCATTCTGAATGTTTCTGCACAAAACAAAATGTTTTATCGTCTGTCACATAAATCCATATTTGCATATTGTCCTCAGATCCTCAAAAAGTTTTACAGCTGCACCATCGAGAGCATCCTGACTGGTTGCATCACCGCATGGTATGGCAACTGCTCGGCCTCCGACCGCAAGGCACTACAGAGGGTAGTGCGTACGGCCCAGTACATCACTGGGGCCAAGCTTCCTGCCATCCAGGACCTCTATACCAGGCAGTGTCAGAGGAAGGCCCTAAAAATGGCCAAAGACTCCAGGCACCCTAGTCATAGACTGTTCTCTCTGCTACCTCATGGCAAGCAGTACCGGAGCACCAAGTCTAGCTCCAAGAGGCTTCTTAACAGCTTCTACCCCAAGCTATAAAACTCCTGAACCCCCCCCCCCCCCCTATCTATGCATAGTCAATTTAACTCTACCTACATGTACATATTACCTCAATTACCTCGACTAACCTGTGCCCCCACACTTTTACTCTGTACCGGTACCCACTGTATTTAGCCTCATTACTGTTATTTTACTGCTGCTCTTTAATTATTTGTTATTTTGTTTTTTACTTCTGTTTATTTTAGTAAATACTTTCTTAACACTTATTTTTCTTAATACTACATGGTTGGTTAAGGGATTGTAAGTAAACATTTCACTGTAAGGTCTAAACCTGTTGTATTCGGCACATGTGACAAATACAATTTTATTTGATTGAACTGTTTATTCACTGGACTGGCCTTTTGACATTATCTGGAAAATAATTTGTTCAATCAGAACTTCATGTTACACCTTATAGGCTTCCATATGTCTCCTGGTAATATAGGGTGTGTTCTCATTGGTTAATTCATCACTAAGTAGTCCTACATACCACCTGTGGGTCATCATACCACCTGGGGGGGGGGCTGGGATCTTTATAAACAGCTAGAGGGCACAGTAAGGACCATCAGCAGTTGGGTGACTAGAGAAAGACAGACGTCCATCTCAAGGATATACAGGTAAGACATTGTCTGTTGTTCTGGTTCTGTTCTTCTCGTCTACTACCTCTCTCTCTCTCTCTCTCTCTCTCTCTCTCTCTCTCTCTCTCTCTCTCTCTCTCTCTCTCTCTCTCTCTCTCTCTCTCTCTTTCTCTCTTTCAATTCAATTCAATTCAATGGGCTTTATTGGCATGGGAAACATATGTTAACATTGCCAAAGCAAGAGAAGTAGATAGTAAACAAAAGTGAAATAAACAATAAATATTAACAGTAAAATTTACACTCAGAAGTTCCAAAAGAATAAAGACATTTCAAATGTCATATTATGTATACATACAGTGTTGTAACAATGTGCAAATAGTTAAAGTACCAATGGGAAAATAAGTAAACATAAATATGGGTTGTAATTACAATGGAATTAGTTATTCACTGGTTGCCCTTTTCTTGTGGCAACAGATAACACATCTTGCTGCTGTGATGGCACACTGTGGTATTTCACCAAGTAGATAAGAGAGTTTATCAAAACTGGGTTTGTTTTCGAATTCTTTGTGGATCTCTGTAATCTGAGGGAAATATGTGTCTCTAATATGCACATAGCCTGTCTTCTCTTGAGAGCCAGGTCTGCCTACGGCGGCCTTTCTCAATAGCAGGGCTATGCTCACTGAGTCTGTACATAGTCAAAGCTTTCCTTCATTTTGGGTCAGTCACAGTGGTCAGGTATTCTGCCACTGTACTCTCTGTTTAGAGCCAAATAGCATTCTAGTTTGCTCCGTTTTTTTTTGTTAATTCTTTCCAATGTGTCAAGTAATTCTCTTTTTTGTTTTCTCATGATTTGGTTAGGTCTAATTGTGTTGTTGTCCTGGGGCTCTGTGGGGTCTGTTTGTGTTTGTGAACAGAGCCCCAGGACCAGCTTACTTAGGGGACTCTTCTCCAAGTTAATCTCTTTATAGGTGATATATTTGTTATGGAAGGTTTGGGAATCACTTCCTTTTAAGTGGTTATATTTTCTGGATTTTAATAATTAGCAGGTATCGGCATAATTCTGCTCTGCATGCATTATTTGGTGTTTTTCGTTGTACATGGAGGATACTTTTGCAGAATTCTGCATGAGTCTCAATTTGGTGTTTGTCCCATTTTATGAATTATTGGTTGGTGAGCGGACCCCAGACCTCACAACCATTACGTTTTTTTATATTTTTTTATTTTCATACTGGTCATACATTTTCATAATGGTCCCCCATGGGAATCGAACCCACAACCCTGGCATTGCAAGCGCCATGCTCTACCAACTGAGCTACATAAAGGGCAATGGGTTCCATAACTGATTCAAGTATTTTTAGCCAAATCCTAATTGGTATGTCAAATTTTATGTTACTTTTGATGGCATAGAAGGCCCTTCTTGCCTTGTCTCTCAGAGACAAGTGGCAACAGAGACAAGTGGCAAGTGGCAACAGGTCACAAGTGGCAACAGGTCACAAATCTTGCTGCTGTGATTGCACACTGTGGTATTTCACCCAATAGATATGGGAGTTTAACATAATTATATTTGTTTTCACATTTTTGTGGGTCTGTGTAATCTGAGGGAGGTATGTGTCTCTAATATGGTCAGCTCAGTTTCCACATAATTTCCCACCTAATCTCTCTCTCTCTCTCTCTCTCTCTCTCTCTCTCTCTCTCTCTCTCTCTCTTCTTACACTGACTAATCTCATAATACTGATAATATGTCCTGATCTTTCACCTCAAATTTTACTCCTGTCTGAATGCAGTTTGTAGTGTTAGTTTCAAGCTCTTATGGACACCCATCTGACATGTTTATATCTTCCCTTCCTCTCCTCTCCTCTCCTCTCCTCTCCTCTCCTCTCCTCTCCTCTCCTCTCCTCTCCTCTCCTCTCCTCTCCTCTCCTCTCCTCTCCTCTCCTCTCCTCTCCTCTCCTCTCCTCTCCTCTCTCTCAGACAGTGTACCATGGCCTCTCTCTCTCTGTCCCTGGGTCTGCTGGTGCTATGCACCCTGGCTCTTGTACAATGTGGCCCGTATGACGACCGCGTCAGGGTGTGGGGCATTAGTGCCACCAACCTGAAAGGAGACCTCCTCTCCCAGCCAGACCCCTACGTCAAGGTGAATTTATTCATTCATTTAACCTTTATTTAACCGGAACAGTCAGTTAATGAAACATTGTTATTTACAATGAGGGACTGGCAGGTGGGGTGGTAAAACAGAAGAAGTACAATAATGTTACAGACAGGACAGGCATCATAACACAAAAGGACAGAGACACAGCAATAATCAACCACTAAACAGTAGACAGTCAGCAGTCATTTGTTTGGATATCAAGTAGGCTACAGTGACATGTGACCATGAAAATGTCAGTGATTGGCTTGTTACTTGTTAGGCTGAATGAACAAAAAAACTAACAAATGAATGAACAAACAAACAAACAAAATAATGAATGAATGCATTTTAAAATACATATAGAGGTTCCTCATCCAAGTGAGCCAACTATACATACATAAAAAATCCTTGAGTATTAAAGCACAATCATAATAAAACATGTTTAATAATAAAAGTCTACTGACAACATTAACTTCCTTAGGTGTGGTGCGGCCCAGCCTTCGGTGGAATGAGCAGCATTCTGAAGAACCAGGCCAACCCCAACTGGCCCGGCGAGTTCAACTTCCTAGACATCATCGACGACTCTGTCCTGAAGCTGGAGGTGAGCTTTGATCAATGGAAAAGCAGTTTGTATATCCAATAAATTATGATGATGAGGAAGAGGAAGAGGAGGAGGAGGAGGAGGATAATTATGAGTAATATTATTATTAATATGATAAATATGATTATGATGAATAATTATGATATTTGTATTTATTATTATAATTAATGTAATTATTATTAGGTGTGGGATGATAACGTCGGACCAGATGAACGCCTGGGAACCTGCACCACCACCATCTACCCAGGAACACACATCGAGACCTGCCACCTGAAGAAAGGCACCGTCTACTACACCTACACCTACCAGAAGGATCACCAGCAACAGAATGATGATTAGATTGTAACCTATGACATTGTGTCTGATTGGTTCTCTCACCCTGTCACTCATGTATTCACTTCCTTATAGCATCAATTAAAAAAAACGTGCTTTACGGCAAGATGGTCTCAGTCTGGCTTTATTTATTTTTTAATAACATATTTTTTATGTTATTTTATTGTTTTATGCTTTCCCAGAAGATGTCTTAGATTGGTCCATAGAATATTAAAAGAGATACATCAATATTTCTACTAGATTTGAGATTTTATGTCAAAGATTTTTACAATTCAACATTTACCATTTACAGTAGACCATTATTGTGCTTAAACTTGAGCTTAATATAACTTTTTGTTATTCTAAGCTTTGGCCTTCATTCCTAATCAGCGTATCAGATAAATACAAAACTGTTGACAGTACTGTACGTCACAAAACCGTATTTAGTTTGGTTTAGAGACATCACTGAGAACGGACCAGCTGTGGGTCTCCATTGCCTCTTTGCAATGTGTACGGTGGTTGGTACAGTATGTGTAAGGGGGGGGGTTGGTATGTTTATGACAGGGTGCCTGGGTAAGGTCCTTATGAAGGGGAACAGTTATGTTACTGTATGTTATCTTAAGGATCCAACCTGGGACGACATGCTGGGAAGCTGCAACACCACCATCAGCACAACCACAACGTTGTCAGGGAGCACTCCGATATACTTACCGTTTCACATGTGATCTAAAAAGCTAAACTGATCGTAGATCATCTTTTATCAAGACGCTTTATGATTACGAGCCCAGATCAGGGCCAGTATCCACATCAGAGTAGGGTTGCCGATCTAGGATCAGTTTTAGTCTTCAGATCATAATGAATGATATTATATGGACAGATCCTAGATCAGAACTCCTACTCTGAGATGCTTTGGGGATATTGGCCCAACACTCTTCATCTGTCCCTGAGGTGGGTTTTGAATATGGGGTGAGAGAACGCTTTCCAACAACAGGTGGTTTCTGTTGACTGTCTAATGGATGTTCTTGAACAGCAAAACAGCTGAGAGCAGAGAATTACATTCACTTTTGAGTCATTTAGCAGACGCTCTTGTTCAGAACGACTTACAGAGGAGGACAGAGGAGTCGAGGAGAGGACAGACTTTTGCCCAAATGAGAATCTCCCAGGGAATAAAATGTATCTCAGTGACCGGGAAAACTAATGAGTGGTTGAGAGGTCGAGGAGAGTGTTAATTCGTTTGTAGGTGAAAGGAGGAGTCTGCTCTCCTCCTGGATTACCTACTTCAGCAGAGGATTCCCATGAGTATCCTTTTGGGTTCTAGAGTATCCTTTCAGCTTCTAGCTCGGAAGTGTTTTAAAATCCACCTCACCCCCTTTGAATCAGCTGTTGTTTTCTGGAAGGAGAAAAGCATGCTACTTATACTTTTATCTATAAAATGTCTTCTACAACTAATAGCTACTTTTATTTGTATCACTTTACACATTTATTTTGGGATTACAATGAGCCAACGAGGATGGTATGACGGTATGTCTCCACATGCCTGACTGAGATGTGAGGTCATTCCTCAGGATCTTCGGCGTGTGCGTGTGCGTGCGTGCGTGCGTGTTTGCCAATGGTATGATATCCAGGTTGCGTCTCCCCTGCTTGTACAACGACACTACTGAGGCAGAATTTGACTTTATTCAAGCAAGGTAGTTATTGATGGCTGATAGAGAATTGATCAAAATTGTTGGGAAATTACTACACTATCTCAAACTGATTAGGTGATGGAGCCTGGCCTTTGTGAAGAAGATTATGTTTGACGGCATTGGTATCAGTCACAACAAGACAACCCATTGGATAATCACAGTATCGTCATTAATAACGTGACAGCCCATTGGATAATCACAGCATTGTCATTAATAACGTGACAGCCCATTGGATAATGACAAAGCCCTTGGTCTTTTCTTGGTCTTCCATTCCCTCTTTCATAGCTTCCACTCCTTTCCTTCCCTAGCTTCCTTTCCTCTCCTCCTTTTCTAGATCCCGTTCCTCATTTCCTAGAATTCTTTCTTATTTTCCTTTACTTTCCTCCTTTCTTAGTTTCCTTTCCTCATTCACTTTCCTAGGTTCCTTTCCTCCTTTCCTGGGTTCCTTTCCTTGATCTTTCCCATCTTCCATTCCTCCTTCCCTAGCTTCAATTCTTCTTTCCTAATTTCCTTGTCCCTTTTTTTCCCTAACTTCCTTTCCTCTTCGCCTTTCCTACTCTCTGTTCCTTTCCTGGCTTCATTTCCTAGCATTCCTTTCCTGGCTTCATTTCCTAGCATTCCTTTCCTGGCTTCATTTCCTAGCATTCCTTTCCTGGCTTCATTTCCTAGCATTCCTTTCCTGGCTTCATTTCCTAGCATTCATTTCCTGGCTTCATTTCCTAGCATTCCTTTCCTGGCTTCATTTCCTAGCATTCCTTTCCTGGCTCTATTTCATTTCTTTTCTCCCCTCCTTTGCTTTCCTAGCTCCCATTCCTACTATACTTGCCTAGCTACCTTTCCTTTCCTACTTTCCTAGCTTCCTTTCCTTGGTCTTTGCACACTCTTGGCATTCTCTCAACCAGCTTCATGAGGTAGTCACCTAGAATCCATTTCAATTAACAGGTGTGCCTTCTTAAAGTTAATTTGTGGAATTTATTTCCTTCTTAATGCGTTTGAGCCAATCAGTTGTGTTGTGACAAGGTAGGGGTGGTAAAAGACCAAGTCCATATTATGGGAGTTCACAGAGTTCAAGTAACAGACACATCTCAACATCAACTGTTCAGAGGAGACTGTGTGAATCAGGCCTTCATGGTCGAATTGCTGCAAAGAAACCACAACTAAAGGACACCAATAATAAGAAGAGACCTGCTTGGGCCAAGAAACACAAGCCTTTGGTCTGGAGTCCATATTGGAGATTTTTGACTGTTGGAAAATCATTCCAGGTGAAGCTGGTTGAGAGAATGCCAAGAGTGTGCAAAGCTGTTATCAAGGCAAAGGGTTGCTATTTGAAGAATCTCAAATAAAACATATATTTTGATATGTTTAACACTTTTATGGTTACTACATGATTCCATATGTGTTATTTCATAGTTTTGATGTCTTCACTATTTTTCTACAATGTAGAAAATAGTAAAAATAAAGAAAACCCCTTGAATGAGTAGGTGTTGTAAATCCTTTGACCGGTAGTGTATATTTATACTACGGACTCCGACATTGCTCATCCTAATATGTCTTCATTTCCCATAGGGCGGTGCACAATTGGCCCAGCGTTGTCTGGGTTTGGCCGGTGTAGTCCGTCATTGTAAATAAGAATTTGTTCTTAACTGACTTGCCAAGTTAAATACAGGTTAAATAAAAAATTTAAAAAAGTATATTATTTTACTTTTCGATTTGTTTATTGTTAGATATTACTGCACTGCTGGAGCTAGGAACACAAGCATTTCGCTACAACCGCAATAACATATACTAAATATGTGTATGTGACCAATAACATTTGAATTGATTATTTTATTTTATTTATGTGAATGTGTCTAAAGCATGTTAGAATACGATCCAAAACAACTCATATAACATCACAACCCCATTCTGAATGTTTCTGCACAAAAAAATTGTTTTTATCGTCTGTCACATAAATCCATATTTGCATATTGTCCTCAGATCCTCAAAAAGTTTTACAGCTGCACCATCGAGAGCATCCTGACTGGTTGGATCACCGCATGGTATGGCAACTGCTCGGCCTCCGACCGCAAGGCACTACAGAGGGTAGTGCGTACGGACCAGTACATCACTGGGGCCAATCTTCCTGCCATCCAGGACCTCTATATACCAGGCGGTGTCAGAGGAAGGCCCTAAAAATGGCCAAAGACTCCAGGCACCCTAGTCATAGACTGTTCTCTCTGCTACCTCACGGCAAGCAGTACCGGAGCACCAAGTCTAGCTCCAAGAGGCTTCTTAACAGCTTCTACCCCAAGCTATAAGACTCCTGAACAGCGAATCAAATGGCTACCCGGACTATTTGCATTGCCCCCCCCCCCACCCCCTCTTTTAATCTGCTGCTATTCTCTGTTTATTATCTATGCATAGTCAATTTAACTCTACCTACATGTACATATTACCTCAATTACCTGGACTAACCTGTGCCCCCGCACTTTGACTCTGTACCGGTACCCACTGTATTTAGCCTCATTACTGTTATTTTACTGCTGCTCTTTAATTATTTGCTATTTTGTTTTTTACTTTTGTTTATTTTAGTAACTACTTTCTTAACACTTATTTTTCTTAATACTACATGGTTGGTTAAGGGCTTGTAAGTAAGCATTTCACTGTAAGGTCTAAACCTGTTGTATTCGGCATATGTGACGAATACAATTTTATTTGATTGAACTGTTTATTCACTGGACTGGCCTTTTGACATGATCTGGAAAATAATTTGTTCAATCAGCATTTCAAATATAATTTCTTGTTACACCTTCTAGGTTTCCACATGTCTCTTGAAAATATAGGTTGTGTTCTCATTGGTTAATGCGTAACTAAGTAGTCCTTCATACCACCTGTGGGTCATCATACCACATGGGGGGGGCTGAGATCTTTATAAACAGCAAGATGGCACAGTAAGGACCGTCTGCAGTTGGGTGACTAGAGAAAGACAGACGTCCATCTCAAGGATATACAGGTAAGACATGATCTGTTGTTCTGGTTCTGTTCTTCTCGTCTACTACCTCTCTCTCTCTCTCTCTCTCTCTCTCTCTCTCTCTCTCTCTCTCTCTCTCTCTCTCTCTCTTTCAATTCAATTCAATGGGCTTTATTGGCATGGGAAATGTATGTTAACATTGCCAAAGCAAGAGAAGTAGATGGTAAACAAAAGTGAAATAAACAATAAATGTTAACAGTAAAATGTACACTCAGAAGTTCCAAAAGAATAAAGACATTTCAAATGTCATATTATGTATATATACAGTGTTGTAACAATGTGCAAATAGTTAAAATACAAATGGGAAAATAAGTAAACATAAATATGGGATTTATTTACAATGGAATTAGTTATTCACTGGTTGCCCTTTTCTTGTGGCAACAGATAACAAATATTGCAGCTGTGATGGCACACTGTGGTATTTCACCAAGTAGATAAGAGAGTTTATCAAAACTGGGTTTGTTTTTGAATTCTTTGTGGATCTCTGTAATCTGAGGGAAATATGTGTCTCTAATATGGTCATACATTTGGCAGGAGGTTAGGAAGTGCAGCTCAGTTTCCACCTCATTTTGTGAGCAGTGTGCACATAGCCTGTCTTCTCTTGAGAGCCAGGTCTGCCTACGGTGGCCTTTCTCAATAGCAAGGCTATGCTCACTGAGTCTGTACATAGTCAAAGCTTTCCTTCATTTTGGGTCAGTCACAGTGGTCAGGTATTCTGCCACTGTACTCTCTGTTTAGAGCCAAATAGCATTCTAGTTTGCTCCGTTTGTTTGTTAATTCTTTCCAATGTGTCAAGTAATTCTCTTTTTTGTTTTCTCATGATTTGGTTGGGTCTAATTGTGTTGTTGTCCTGGGACTCTGTGGGGTCTGTTTGTGTTTGTGAACAGAGCCCTAGGAACAGCTTGCTTAGGGGACTCTTCTCCAAGTTAATCTCTTTATAGGTGATGGCTTTGTTATGGAAGGTTTGGGAATCGCTTCCTTTTAAGTGGTTATAGAATTTAACGGCTCTTTTCTGGATTTTGATAATTAGCGGGTATTGGCATAATTCTGCTCTGCATGCATTATTTGGTGTTTTTCGTTGTACATGGAGGATACTTTTGCAGAATTCTGCATGCAGAGTCTCAATTTGGTGTTTGCCCCATTTGATGAATTCTTGGTTGGTGAGCGGACCCCAGACCTCACAACCATTACATTTTTTTACATTTTAGTCATTTAGCAGACGCTCTTATCCAGAGCGACTTACAGTTAGTGAGTGCATACTTCATACTGGTCATACATTTTCATACTGGTCCCCCATGGGAATCGAACCCACAACCATGGCATTGCAAGCGCCATGCTCTACCAACTGAGCTACATAAAGGGCAATGGGTTCTATAACTGATTCAAGTATTTTTAGCCAAATCCTAATTGGTATGTCAAATTTTATGTTACTTTTGATGGCATAGAAGGCCCTTCTTGCCTTGTCTCTCAGATCATTCACAGCGTTGTGGAAGTTACCTGTGGCGCTGATGTTTAGGCCGAGGTATGTATAGTTTTTTGTGTGCTTTAGGGCAACGGTGTCTAGATGGAATTTGTATTTGTTGTCCTGGCAACTGGACCCTTTTTGGAAAACCATTATTTTTGTCTAACTGAGATACACTGTCAGGGCGCAGGTCTGACAGAATCTGTGCAGAAGATCTAGGTGCTGCTGTAGGCCCACCTTGGTTGGTTGGTGACAGAAGCACCAGACACTTTCTCTCTCTCTCTCTCTCTATATCTCTTTATCTCTGAGTCGCTGTCTCTCTCTCTTTATCTCTCTCTATCTCTGAGTCGCTGTCTCTCTCTCTCTCCCTCTCTCTCTCTCTCTGAGTCGCTGTCTCTCTCTCTTTATCTCTCTCTATCTCTGAGTCGCTCTCTCTCTCTCTTTCCCTCTCTCTCACTCTCTGAGTCGCTGTCTCTCTCTCTCTCTCTATCTGTCTATCTCTCTCTCTTCTTACACGAACTAATCTCATAATACTGATAATATGTCCTGATCTTTCACCTCTATTTTTACTCCTGTCAGAATACAGTTTGTAGTGTTAGTTTCAAGCTCTTATGGACACCCATCTGACATGTTTACATCCTCCTCTCCTCTCCTCTCCTCTCCTCTCCTCTCCTCTCCTCTCCTCTCCTCTCCTCTCCTCTCCTCTCCTCTCCTCTCCTCTCCTCTCCTCTCCTCTCCTCTCCTCTCCTCTCCTCTCCTCTCCTCTCCTCTCCTCTCCTCTCCTCTCCTCTCCTCTCCCTCCCCTCCCCTCCCTCCTCTCCTCTCCCCTCCCCTCCTCTCCTCTCCTCTCCTCTCCTCTCCTCTCCTCTCCTCTCCTCTCCTCTCCTCTCCTCTCCTCTCCTCTCCTCTCCTCTCCTCCTCTCCTCTCCTCTCCTCTCCTCTCCTCTCCTCTCCTCTCCTCTCCTCTCCTCTCCTCTCTCTCAGACAGTGTACCATGGCCTCTCTCTCTCTGTCCCTGGGTCTGCTGGTGCTATGCACCCTGGCTCTTGTACAATGTGGCCCGTATGACGACCGCGTCAGGGTGTGGGGCATTAGTGCCACCAACCTGAAAGGAGACCTCCTCTCCCAGCCAGACCCCTACGTCAAGGTGAATTTATTCATTTATTTAACCTTTATTTAACCAGAACAGTCAGTTAATGAAACATTGTTATTTACAATGAGGGACTGGCAGGTGGGGTGGTAAAACAGAAGAAGTACAGTAATGTTACAGACAGGACAGGCATCATAACACAAAAGGACAGAGACACAGCAATAATCAACCACAAACAGTAGACAGTCAGCAGTCATTTGTTTGGATATCAAGTAGGCTACAGTGACGTGTGACCATGAAAATGTCAGTGATTGGCTTGTTACTTGTTAGGTGAATGAACAAAAAAACGAACAAATGAATGAACAAACAAACAAACAAAATAATGAATGAATGCATTTTAAAATACATATAGAGGTTCCTCATCCAAGTGAGCCAACTATACATACATAAAAAATCATTGAGTATTAAAGCACAATCATAATAAAACATGTTTAATAATAAAAGTCTACTGACAACATTAACTTCCTTAGGTGTGGTGTGGCCCAGCCTTCGGTGGCATGTCCAGCATTCTGAATAACCAGGCCAACCCCAACTGGCCCGGCGAGTTCAACTTCCTAGACATCATCGACGACTCTGTCCTGAAGCTCGAGGTGAGTTTTGAGCAATGGAGTGCTTTGATCAATGTAAAAGCAGTTTGTATATCCAATAAATTATGATGATGAGGAAGAGGAAGAGGAGGAGGAGGAGGAGGAGGATAATTATGAGTAATATTATTATTAATATGATAAATATGATTATGATGAATTATTATGATATTTGTATTTATTATTATAATTAATGTAATTATTATTAGGTGTGGGATGATAACGTCGGACCAGATGAACGCCTGGGAACCTGCACCACCACCATCTACCCAGGAACACACATCGAGACCTGCCACCTGAAGAAAGGCACCGTCTACTACACCTACACCTACCAGAAGGAATACCAGCAACAGAATGATGATTAGATTGTAACCTATGACCTTCTATCTGATTGGTTCTCTCACCCTGTCACTCATGTATTCACTTCCTTATAGCATCAAGAAAAAAAAACATGCTTTACGGCAAGATGGTCTCAGTCTGGCTTAATTTTTTTTTTTTATAACATATTTTTTATGTTATTTTATTGTTTTATGCTTTCCCAGAAGATGTCTTAGATTGGTCCATAGAATATTAAAAGGGATAAATCAATATTTCTGCTAGATTTGAGATTTTATGTCAAAGCTTTTTACAATTCAACATTTACCTTTTACAGTAAACCATTATTGTGCTTAAACTTGAGCTTAATATAACTTTTTGTTATTCTAAGCTTTGGCCTTCATTCCTAATCAGCGTATCAGATAAATACAAAACTGTTGACAGTACTGTACGTCACAAAACCGTATTTAGTTTGGTTTAGAGACATCACTGAGAACGGACCAGCTGTGGGTCTCCATTGCCTCTTTGCAATGTGTACGGTGGTTGGTACAGTATGTGTAAAGGGGGGTTGGTATGTTTATGACAGGATGCCTGGGTAAGGTCCTTATAAAGGGGAACAGTTATGTTACTGTATGTTATCTTAAGGATCCAACCTGGGATGACATGCTGGGAAGCTGCAACACCACCATCAGCACAACCACAACGTTGTCAGGGAGCACTCCGATATACTTACCGTTTCACATGTGATCTAAAAAGCTAAACTGATCGTAGATCATCTTTTATGAAGACGCTTTATGATTACGGGCCCAGATCAGGGCCAGTATCCACATCAGAGTAGGGTTGCCGATCTAGGATCAGTTTTAGTCTTCAGATCATAATGAATAATATTATATGGACAGATCCTAGATCAGAACTACTACTATGAGATGCTTTGGGAATATTGGCCCAACACTCTTCATCTGTCCCTGAGGTGGGTTTTGAATATGGGGTGAGAGAACGCTTTCCAACAACAGGTGGTTTCTGTTGACTATCTAATGGATGTTCTTGAACAGCAAAACAGCTGAGAGCAGAGAATTACATTCACTTTTGAGTCCTTTAGCAGACGCTCTTATTCAGAACGACTTACTAATAGCCTTTGTTTATTCAAAGGTTTGGCCTTCTTTCATAATCAGCAGTTAAAAACTTCAAAACTTTTGACAGGACTGTACGTCACAAGACCCTATACAGTTTGGTTTAGAGACTTTACTGAGGACGGACCAGCTGTGGGTCTCCATTGCCTCTTGGCGAATGTGTCCGGGTGGTTGGTACAGTATTCGTGTGGGGGGTTGTTATGTCTATGACGGTGTGCCTGGGTAAGGTGCTTATAAAGGGAAATAATAACGTCCTTATGTTATCTTAAGGTAAAGATTTTTAAGGTTATATTGTTTTTGTGCATCTCTGAGTGATGTTCTATCGATTCCCTGGGTCATTTCATGTGTATCTGAGCTATTGCCATTCAAGCAGGCAGAAATTCGGCCGGTATGACGTAGCATTGCTTAATCAAGGTGACAGACAGTGACACATTCAATACCGCCTTTCACACTCTTGCCTGCATCTAGCGGATCTAGAGTGTAATCATTAGTCCAACAGTTGCAAAGGAGATTTCTATTGGACAAATTCAAATATGTTTATCCCCATTTCGTTCCGTTTGCTTCCGTTTAAGAAACGTTTTTTCAAAGAAACGTTTTTTTCAAAAGAATCGGTGGAATGAATACCGTCCTGTTCACATGCAAACACAGTTCAGTTTCATAGCAGCCGCATACAAACAGCATTAACATTTTGCTCGTTTTATAATTCCTTCTCGCATCTACGCGCTCTCCTCCTCTCACCTTTTCCCTTCGCTTGTGGACTTCGGTGCACAACACATCAGCTGTCTGTGACCAGGCGAAAAAACCTTTCCAAGCCAAACCTTCATATCATAACTGCTAACCGCTACACACAGCCTAAATCGTTGTCATCATATTAGCTAATGCCATAGTCAACATAGCTACTAAAACTAATGCGTTAGTAAACCCGCTACAATCACGCAGTAGAATATACAGTCAGCAAGCAGTTTAGTAGTTACACCGGTGGGCCCTGGTGGCAATAAATTAATCAAACCAAAATCTTACCTTGACTTGGAAGAGTTCCAGTGTTGGATAGCCATAGCCAGCTAGCTAACATAGCATCCCTCTCTGTTTAAGCCGGGGTTTGTGTCGGCTAAACTTGCTAGCTGCATTCACTAGCAAAGTAAAAGTGAAAAATAATACAATGAAATACAGCTAGCTGTCTCGCTCTCTCTCTTTCTCTCTCTTGCTTCTCCTTCATTTTTTAAATAAAAACATTTGTTAAAAACGGTTTAAATATTGTGTTTCTCTCACTTTGAGTCAACTACTCACCATATATTATGCACTGCGGTGCTAGCTTATTGTAGCTTATGCTTTCAGTACCTGATTCATTCTCTGATCCTTTGATTGGGTGGACAACATGTCAGTTCATGTTGCAAGAGCTCTGATAGGTTGGAGGATGTCATAATTACTGTGTAAGTCTATGGAAGGTTTTGTATTGAAGTCAATGTACCCAGAGGAGGATCGATACTAGCTGTCCTCTGGCTACACGATGGTGCTACCCTACAGAGTTCTGTTGAGGCGACTGTTATTGCAAAATAGTGTGTTTTAATCAATTATTTGGTGACATGCGAATATATTTAGTATATTTGTATTCATGTTTCACAATTTTTGTATGTATGAAATTCACTGAGGAGGATGGTCCTCTCCTTCCTCCTCTGAGGAGCCTCCACTGTTTTAGAAACGTATCTGTTTGGCATCTTCATTTCCGTCTTTCCTAGCTTGCTTTCGTTGATCCCTTTCCTTCCTTTCCTCCCCTCCTTTGTTTTCCTAGCTCTATTTTCTCCTATCATTTCCTAACTCTCTTTCCTTGCTCCCTTTACTTCCCTCGCTTCCTTTACTTTCCTCCTTTACTTGCCTCCCTTTCCTCCCCTGGCTTCCTCTTCTCTCCTTCTTTCCTAGTTCCCTTCCAATTTCTCCTTTCCTAGCTCCCTTTCCTAGCTTCCATTTCTTGGTCTTTCCTATCTTCCATTCTTTCTTTCCTAGCTTCCATTCCTTGATCCCTTTCCTGCCTTTCCTCCACTTTGCTTTCCTAGCTCTCTTTCCTCCTATCCTTTCCTAACTTCCTTTCTCTCCTCCTGTCCTAGATTCCTTGCCTCCTTTCCCAGCTTCCTTTCCTCCTACTACAGTAATGACTTTGGGCCTTATACACTACTACCACTGTTACATAAATGTTCTGCCACCAGAGGTTACTCAGAAAAAATGCAAGTTTAGCTTTAAAAAACAGATAAAGAACATATTGTATCACAGTGCCTCTCATCTTTCTAAAGATCTAATGTAACTTTACTGTATTTAAGAATATGAACATTTATATATATGAATAGTGTGTAAATAGTATTTTTGTTGTCTCTTGGTGTCTTCCCTATATATATATTACTTTTATTTAATTTTTTATTTTGAATTTAATATAATATGTTGTTCTTGTCTATTAATGTTCTGTACTTACTGTAGTCATGTATTAATGTTCTGTACTTACTGTAGTCATCTATTAATGTTCTGTACTTACTGTAGTCATCTATTAATGTTCTGTACTTACTGTAGTCATCTATTAATGTTCTGTACTTACTGTAGTCATCTATTAATGTTCTGTACTTACTGTAGTCATGTATTTGTTTTATGTGTACCCCAGGACGAGCAGCTGCTGCATGTGGTATCTGGAGGGGGGCCCTTAGCAAAAAAATTAATAAATAAAATAATATGGTGGCCATCTTGAGAATCATCTTCAGCACGGAATACCAAGGATCATGGATGGATGGACTAAACATACTATCACTGCCCTCACTTCATGAGCAAAGACAACCTGTGCCTGGACTTTGCAGTGTCCCTGTTAAAGTCCCCCTTCAGAGACTGTTTACCTGCCTGCCAAGGACACACAGGACTGAAAGATACAAAGTTACCCACTCAGTCAACTCTTTGAGTATCTCCTAAAGTAAAAGTCAAACGTGTTTTATGTGTATTTTAAAACCTCTACTAGATCAGTGTCCCGAAATCGGGACAGTTGCTGCTCAATATGCGATATTTGACTAGAATGGCGTTGTAAACAAAGGCCAAACTTTCCAGGACATAGACTTGTCTTATATGTAGGATGGCCGGGATATGCTTAATACCCCGGCCATCCTACAATCCAAACTAGATGCCCTCAATCTCACGCAAATTATCAACGAACCTACCAGGTACAACCTTAAATCCGTAACCATGGGTACCCTCATAGATATCATCCTGACTAACTTACCCTCTAAATACACCTCCGCTGTCTTCAACCAGGATCTCAGCGATCACTGCCTTATTGCCTGCGTCCGTAACGGGTCCGCGGTCAAACGACCACCCCTCATCACTGTCAAACGCTCCCTAAAACACTTTAGCGAACAGGCCTTCCTAATTGACCTGGCCCAGGTATCCTGGATGGATATAGATCTCATTCCGTCAGTAGAGGATGCCTGGTTGTTCTTTAAAAGTAATTTCCTCTCAATCTTAAATAAACATGCCCCATTCAAAAAATACAGAACTAAGAACAGATATAGCCCCTGGTTCTCCTCAGACTTGACTGCCCTTGACCAGCACAAAAACATCCTGTGGCGTACTGCATTAGCATCAAATAGCCCCCGCGATATGCAACTTTTCAGGGAAGTTAGGAACCAATATACACAAGCAGTCAGGAAAGCAAAGGCTAACTTTTTCAAACAGAAATTTGCATCCTGTAGCACTAACTCCAAAGAGTTTTGGGACACTGTAAAGTCCATGGAGAATAAGAGCACTTCCTCCCAGCTGCCCACTGCACTGAGGCTAGGAAACACTTTCACCACCGATAAATCTACAATTATCGAGAATTTCAACAAGCATTTTGCTACGGCTGGCCATGCTTTCCACCTGGCTACCACTACCCCGGCCACCAACTCTGCACCCTCCGCTGCAACTTGCCCATGCCCCCCCCCCCCCCCCCCCCCCCGCTTCTCCTTCACACAAATTCAGACAGCTGATGTTCTGAAAGAGCTGCAAAATCTGGACTTCTACAAATCAGCTGGGCTAAACAATCTGGACCCTTTCTTTCTAAAACTAGCCGCCGAAATTGTCGCAACCCCTATTAGTAGTCTGTTCAACCTCTCTTTCGTAACGTCTGAGATCCCCAGAGATTGGAAAGCTGCCGCGGTCATCCCCCTCTTCAAAGGGGGTGACACTCTAGATCCAAACTGTTACAGACCTATATCCATCCTGCCCTGCCTTTCGAAAGTATTTGAAAGCCAAGTTAACAAACAGATCACCGACCATTTAGAATCCCACCGTACCTTCTCCGCTATGCAATCCGGTTTCCGAGCTGGTCATGGGTGCACTTCAGCCACGCTCAAGGTCCTAAACGATATTATAACCGCGATCGATAATAGACAGTACTGTGCAGCCATCTTCATCGACCTGGCCAAGGCTTTCGACTCTGTCAACCACCGCATTCTTATTGGCAGACTAAATAGCCTTGGTTTCTCAAATGACTGCCTCGCCTGGTTCACCAACTACTTCTCAGATAGAGTTCAGTGTGTCAAATCGGAGGGCCTGTTGTCTGGACCTATGGCAGTCTCTATGGGGGTGCCACAGGGTTCAATTCTTGGGCCGACTCTTTTGTCCGTGTATATCAATGATGTCGCTCTTGCTGCTGGTGACTCTCAGATCCACCTCTACGCAGACGACACCATTTTGTATACATCTGGCCCTTCATTGGACACTGTGTTAACAAACCTCCAAACGAGCTTCAATGCCATACAACACTCCTTCAGTAGCCTCCAACTGCTCTTAAACACTAGTAAAACTAAATGCATGCTCTTCAATCGAACGCTGCTGGCACCCGCCCACCCGACTAGAATCACCACTCTCGACGGGTCTGACCTAGAGTATGTGGACAACTACAAATACCTAGGTGTCTGGTTAGACTGTAAACTCTCCTTCCAGACTCACATTAAGAATCTCCAATCCAAAGTAAAATCTAGAATCGGCTTCCTATTTCGCAACAAAGCCTCCTTCACTCATGCTGCCAAACATGCCCTCGTAAAACTGACTATCCTACCGATCCTTGACTTCGGCGATGTCATTTACAAAATAGCCTCCAACACTCTACTCAGCAAATTGGATGTAGTCTATCACAGTGCCATCCGTTTTGTCTCCAAAGCCCCATACACTACCCACCACTGTGACCTGTACGCTCTTGTTGGCTGGTCCTCACTACATGTTCGTCGTCAAACCCACTGGCTCCAGGCCATCTATAAATCACTGCTAGGCAAATCCCCGCCTTATCTTAGCTCATTGGTCACCATAGCAGCACCCACCCGTAGTCTGCGCTCCAGCAGGTATATCTCACTGGTCATTCCCAAAGCCAACACCTCCTTTGGCCGCCATTCCTTCCAGTTCTCTGCTGCCAATGACTGGAACGAATTGCAAAAATCTCTGAAGCTGGAGACTCTTATCTCCCTCACTAACTTTAAGCATCAGTTGTCAGAGCACCTTACCGATCACTGCACCTGTACACAGCCCATCTGAAATTAGCCCACCCAACTACCTCATCCCTATATTGTTATTTATTTTGCTCTTTTGCACCCCAGTATCTCTATTTGCACATAATCTCTTGCACATCTAGCATTCCAGTGTTAATACTAATTGTAAATATTTTGCACTATAGCCTATTTATTGCCTTACCTCCATAACTTGCTACATTTTCACACACTGTATATATATTTTGTGTTGTATTTTTTGACTTTATGTTTTTTTACCACATATGTAACTCTGTGTTGTTGTTTTTATCGCACTACTATGCTTTATCTTGGCCAGGTCGCAGTTGTAAATGAGAACTTCTTCTCAACTGGCTTACCTGGTTAAATAAAGGTTAAATAAAATAAATAAATAAATATTCAACAGGTGTTGAGCTTTCGTAAATTTGTCAGTTATTCTGCGCTCTGGCACCCTCAGACGAGAGTGCTCTGAAATCGGAGTAGATAGCCAGAGCTAATTTACCTGCTACGTCTATCAACAGTTGTCACAGTGGCATCATAAACATTCTATTGAAATAGTTACTTGCATAGTGGAGTCTTTTGTTCAGACATGTAGCTAGCTAGCTAAACAATGAACCATAATCCCAACTCAACTCGCATGAATCTGCAGGTAGCTAACCCACCAGGTTCAATGTTAGCTAGCTAACATTAGGTTTAACTGCCATAAATGTTATTCATGTCATTATTAATGTTATTCATGTCATTATTAATAGGTTTTACATAATATCATTATTATTTGTACAACTTGTATTTTGAATATTGATTTTGCTTGTATTTATGTGATAGGAACTATCTGTACATTCTATGTTGTGTTGGGACGCTTTTTTTTTACACTTTAACTTGAAATGAAAACGACTTTTTGACAAAATTAGAAATGTGTCATATCTGAAAATGTATCTAGACTCTCTTACCCGTATACATGGATGGACGCTTCTCCCTCTCTGTCACGGATGCCATGGTTGCCCTTAGTTTGAAGATGTAATCCCGTGTAGCTCAGTTGGTAGAGCATGGCGCTTGCAACACCAGTGTTGTTGGTTCGTTTCCCACGGGGGGCCAGTATGAAAAAATGTATGCACTCACTAACTGTAAGTCGCTCTGGATAAGAGCATCTGCTAAATGACTAAAATGTAAATGTTATCCGGAGACAGGTGTTTTATACAACAGCCTTCGTGTGTTCTCTTTTCGGATTCGTCTGCATATTTGCAATCAAACGGCAGAATTTTCTTGATCTCCTTAGCTATCATCCTCCAGAAAGTGGAGAGCAACACTTATGCATTTCTACTACTTATATCTTTCAAAAAAGCAGAGTTAGAAAGGATTAGCTACACGTATTGACCAGCTCATATTATAGACAGAAGCATGCTACATGGCAGACCAATCTGAACTCATCTTTCGGCATGTCCAGCCCAGTCATTATTTCAGCCAATCATTGCTAGCGGGAAGGTTGATGTCTTTTTCCAGGGCTAAACCAACTAGGCTCATAATTTAACAATCATATTCATATTTACAGATGGAATATGAGTTTGTTATTAAGGCACATGAAATGTTCCAGAAGGCATTTCTGCCAAAAAACACATTTTGATAAAAAAAAAAGGTTACGTTCAAATGGCGCTCCTGTGAAGTAGTGATGCGCGACATACGCCTAGTTTCCTGAAACAAGTCACAGTACTGAGTAAAGGGTCTGAATAATTGTGTAAATGTGATATTTCATATTATTCATTTTTTTACATTTGCAAACATTTCTAAATAACTGTTTTTGCTTTGTCATTATGGGGTATTGTGTGTAGATTGATGAGGGAAAAAAACAATTTAATCAATTTTAGAATAAGGCTGTAAGGGGTCTGAATACTTTCCGAATGCACTGTAATGGCATAACATACGGACATAATTATCACCATAGGGAAATGACCCCCTTTATAAGGACCTTACCCAGTCATATAATTATACCAACCCCCCCACCCCCACATGGAGACCCACAGCTGGTCCTTTCTCAGTGATGTCTCTAAACCAAACTGTGTACGGTTTTGTGACGTACAGGACTGTCAAAAGTTTTGTATTTATCTGATATTCTGATTATGAATGAAGGCCAAACCTAAGAATAACAAAAAGTTATATTACGCGCAAATTTAAGCACAATAATGGTCTACTGTAAAAGGTAAATGTTAAATGGTAAAAAGCTTTGACATAAAATCTAAAATCTAGTAGAAATATTGATTTATCCCTTTTAATATTCTATGGCCCAATCTAAGTGTCACGAATTCAGCCGAGGCTGCTCCTCCTCCTTGCTCGGGTAGGCCTATTACAACCCTTACCCGTTCCACAACGGCCGTGGTCACACCTATCGGTGGATTTCGTTACGGACCTCCCCCCGTCACAAGGGAATACCACGATCTTAGTCATTGTGGATCGGTTTTCTAAGTCCTGCCGTCTCATTCCTTTGCCCGGTCTCCCTACGGCCTTACAGACTGCGGAGGCCCTGTTTACTCACGTCTTCCGGCACTACGGTGTACCTGAGGATATAGTGTCTGATCGGGGTCCCCAGTTCACATCAAGGGTCTGGAGGGCGTTCATGGACCATCTGGGGGTTTTGATCAGCCTGACATGAGAGTAATGGGCAGGTGGAGAGAGTAAACCAGGATGTGGGTAGGTTTCTGAGGTCCTATTGCCAGGACCGCACAGGGGATTGGTCGGTTTACATCCCCTGGGCAGAGATGGCCCAAAACTCCCTCCGCCACTCCTCCACTAACCTGTCTCCATTTCAGTGTGTACTAGGTTATCAGCCGGTCCTGGCACCGTGGCATCAGAGCCAGATCGAGGCACCTGCGGTGGATTAATGGTTTCAGCGCTCGGAGGAAACCTGGAACGCTGCCCATGTACGCCTGCAACGGGCTATCAGGCGACAGAAGGCGAGCGCCGACCGCCACCGCAGTGAGGCCCCGATGTATGCAACGGGGGACCGGGTCTGGCTCTCAGCCCAAAACCTGCCCCTTCGCCTGCCCTGCCGGAAGCTGGGTCGGCTGTTTGTGGGGCCATTTAAAGTCTTGAGGAGATTGAACGAGGTTTGTTATAGGATTCAGCTCCCTCCTGATTACCGCATTAACCCCTCGTTCCATGTGTCTCTCCTCAGGCCGGTGGTAGCTGGTCCGCTCCAAGAGTCTGAGGTGCGGGAGGCCCCTCCGCCCCCACTGGACATCGAGGGGGCACCGGCGTACTCGGTCCGTTCCATCCTGGATTCGAGGCGTCGGGTGGGGGGCCTGCAGTATCTTGTGGAGTGGGAGGGGTACGGTCAGGAGGAACGGTGCTGGGTTCCTAGGAGGGACATCCTCGATCCATCCCTGTTGAGGGATTTCCACCGTCGTCATCCGACTAGCCCTGCTCCGCATCCTCATGGCCGTCCCCGAGGCCGGTGTCGGCGCATGGCTGGATCCGCGCGTCAATGGGGGGGTTCTGTCATGAATTCAGCCGAGGCTGCTCCTCCTCCTTGCTCGGGCAGGCTTTGGCGTTCGTTGTCATCGGAGTACTAGCTGCCACCGATCTATGTTTTTTTGTTCTACTTGTTTTGTCTATATTGCACACACCTGGTTCCAATTATGATAATTTGTTTCCCTATTTTACCCTCTGGTTCCCTCATTGTGTTGTGCGTGATTGTTCGTTGTTTTGTTGTCATGTGAGTCTGTATTTTCTTCCCTGCTTGGAAGATATGTTTATTTACTTGTGACAAGTAAAGTACGTCGTTGACTAAGTTCTGTGTCCTGCACCTGACTCCGTCCTACCGCTACACACTGACGCAGGACACTAAGACATCTTCTGAGAAAGCATAAAACAATAAAATAACATGATAAAGCCAGACTGAGACCATCTTGCTGTAAAGCACGTTTTTTTAATTGATGCTATACGGAAGTGAATACATGAGTGACATGGTGAGAGAACCAATCAGACACTAGGTCATAGGTTACAATCTAACCATCCTTCTGTTGCTGCTGTTCCTTCTGGTAGGTGTAGGTGTAGTAGACGGTGCCTTTCTTCAGGTGGCAGGTCTCGATGTGTGTTCCTGGGTAGATGGTGGTGGTGCAGGTTCCCAGGCGGTGATCTGGTCCGACGTTATCATCCCACACCTAATAATAATAATTACAATAATAAATAAAACATCATAAATATTTATTAATTTATTAATAATAACAATACTAATAACAATAATAATAAAAATACAAAATAAATAATAATAATAATACTAATAAATAATACTCATAATTCTCCTTCTCCTCCTCATCCTCCTTGTCCTACCTGTCTTCCTCCTCCTCTTACTCATCATCATCATCATCATAATTGATTGGATTTACAAACTGCTTTTCCATTGCTCAAAGCACTTTGCATAGTAAGGGGGGAAACTCACCTCTAGCTTCAGGACAGACTTGTGGATGACGTCTAGGAAGTTGAACTCGCCGGGCCAGGTGGGGTTGGCCTGGTTCTTCAGAATGCTGGTCATGCCACCGAAGGCTGGGCCGCACCACACCTAAGGAAGATAATGTTGTCAGTAGACTTTTATTATTAAACGTTTTTTATTAAATATCAACGTTTCATTAACTGACTGTTCTGGTTAAATAAAGGTTAAATAAATGAATAAATTCACCTTGACGTAGGGGTCTGGTTGGGAGAGGAAGTCTCCTTTCAGGTTGGTGGCACTAATGCCCCACACCCTGACGCGGTCGTCATACGGGCCACAATGTACAAGAGCCAGGGTGCATAGCACCAGCAGACCCAGGGACAGAGAGAGAGAGGCCATGGTACACTGTCTGAGAGAGAGGAGAGAGAAGAGGAGAAGGAGAGAAGGAGAGAGAGGAGAAGGAGAGGAGAGGAGATGAGAGGAGAGGAGAGAGAGGAGAGGATATATCATGTGAGAGAGGAGGAGGAGAGTGAGAGGAGAGGAGAGGAAGATGTAAACATGTCAGATGGGTGTCCATAAGAGCTTTAAACTAACACTACAAACTTGAAAGATCAGGATGTATTATCTTTAGTAAGAGATCAGTCAGTGGAGGAAGACAGACGCGACAACAAGCGACACAGAGAAGAGAACGCGAGAGATGAAAGCAGAGAGGGAAAGAGAGACATGGAGAGAGAGAGATGAATTAGAGAGAGAGAGGACTGAGCTTGAGAAGATAGAAGGGGGAGAAGAGAGAGAGAAAAGAGAAGAAGAGGAGGAGAGGAGAAGGGGAGAGAGAGAGAGAGAGAGAGAGAGGGGGAGAGAGAGAAAAGAGAGAGAAGAGGGGGAGTGTAGAGGTATAGAGAAACAGAACCAGAAAACAGACAATGTTTCCCTGTATATCCTTGAGATGGAGTCTGTCTTTCTCTAGTCACCCAACTGCTGATGGTCCTTACTGTGCCCTCTAGCTGTTTATAAAGATCTCGCCCCCCCCAGGTGGTATGGGTGACCCAAGGTGGTATGTAGGGCTACTTAGTTACGCATTAACCAATGAGAACCCCACCCTATATTACCGGAGGACATATGGAGCCTATAAGGTGTAACAGCAAATTCTGATACTATCTGAAATGCTGATTGAACAAATTCATTCCAGATAATGTCAAAAGGCCGCCCAGTGAATAAACAGTTAGGTAAGGTAGAGGGTGGAGATGGTAAATAGTACTGCATAGAGTTTAGAATAATTCATCAATAATACCATTGATCACTATCTATATGAAGACAACAGGCGCCACACAGCCCACTGTTTCAGTAGGAGTGGTATTATAAGGACCACTCCTACAGTGACAATGTTTACGTCCCAAATGTCACCCTATTCTCTATATAGTGCACTAATGTTCAAAAGTAGTGCACTGTAAAGTGAATAGGGTGTCATGTGGGACAAAGCCTCTACACACTACAGTTATACCACTCTCTCTGTGACGCCTCATACAAACAGTGTCTCTGGCTTCAATAGAAGCTTCATCCCAGGGCCCTATCAACCGGATGAGTTGTAAAACCTTTTGGTTTTATCCTCAATCATTGTGGAGAGTGTGTCTCTCAAAAGGAAACATTCCATACTATGGGCTCCATCTGTTACTGTGGTGGAACAGGTCCCCAGGTGGTCGTCAGCTGACACATCGTTGTCCCACATCTCCAGCTCCAGGTTGTCATTGGCCACATCATTGCAGATGAACTCGTTACTCCAGGTGGGGGTCAGAATTGTTGTTAATGATTTCAGAAACAAAAGAGGTGTTGTGCAAATATAGAATGCAACTTTCAAATAAATATCACAGTCTGTAAATATGCCCGTATAGTTTCACAAACATATGTCATGATCCAAAAGAAAATATGAGTCATCATTAACAAAAACAAATGATGATTAGCAAATAAATGCAAGTCAGGTTTTTTTCTGGTTAACACAGAGCATTTTACAAACATATTTCTTACTTTGCAAAAACAGTGGTCAAATATGTTTTTGTAACTATGACAACATTGTGACTCCACAGATTAGATATGTGGCCTGTATCGTACTTTATTATTAGGATATCCTCATTTCTTTTTTTGGTGATCAAATGTTTTTTATTTAGTAATAATAATTGTCAGCAAACAAGAATACATACATACAACATGAGGTTACACCCATTTTTCCCAAGACCAGCTTATCGTAAATTGAGACAATATTCCTTCCCCCTCCCCCAATACAATTTAGATTCTATTGTCCCCAAGTAACTGTTCTTCTCTAGAAAGTAACTATAGAATTAGTCAATGCCAAGGAGATACATGTACACTGAAAGGACAATATAAAAGAGGAAATATAGCATGTAAGTCAATCATTTTTCTATGGATGTGTGTGTGTGTGTGAGTGAGAGAGAGAGGGTGTGAGTGTGTGTATATGTGGGTATGTGTCTGTGCATGTGGGATGGGAGAGTGCGGGAGGGTGATTGTGGATGTGTGTGGGAGGGCAGGAGAAAGTGGGTGTGCGGAGGCGTGGGGTGTATGTTGTGTGTGAATGGATGAGTGGGGGGATAAGGTTAACTTTAACTATACAAGTAAATACCAACAAAATCCAACTTATCACATGGAATGTCAACAGGCTCCATGATGGGTAAACCAAGCATATGGTTCTCGAACACCTAAAGATGTGGGGGTTCTTTGCATTAAAAAAAAAATACGAAATTGAACATTTAAAGAGGAGCTGTGTTGGAGAGGCCCATGCTGCCACCCACTGTAGTAACAGCAGAGGGTTAGGCATCCTAATAAATAAGAAAACACAATTTTCCCTCATATCCCAGCATATTTTCTAAGGCGGCCATTTTCTAATGTTGAATTGTACATGGTAAAAGATAAACATTGATTTCATTGTATATCCCACCAGGGGCAAATCTGGTGTTTTTAGATAGAATTCAAGCTATATTAGATAAAATCCAGAAAGGAACTATTATTTTAGCAGGTGACCTAAATCACACATTTGATAAGATTGACAGACTTAGGGAGCCTCCAAAGAGACTGAAAAATGTCATCTCTGCAAATAATTTACAGGACACCTGGAGATTACTATTCCCAACTACAAAAGACTATTCCTTTTTTTCTCAAAGTAAGAAAAGCTATCCAAAATGTGATTACATTTTTATTTCCAAAAATGCACTCAACAATTTACTGGATAAAAAAATTCACGATATAGTGCTATCGGATCATTCATGCTTAATTACACAAATAGAAAAAAACATTTAGCGACAAATTTGGAGAATGAACATCTCTTCTAGATAAACCCCGAGAAAAAAAAAAGAAAATAAGAAATCACTATTTTAGAAAAAGTCCATAAAAAATCTTTACAAGGTAAAGAAGAAAATACTATTTCTGAACTTAAGCAGGAATACGAACGTTTACTTCTGAAGAGAGCAAACACTTACAGATTAATCTCGTACTCGTTAATGGCAACTTCACCTGGTAAATATATTGCAGCTCTCAGTAAATACATACAGTGCATTTGGAAAGTATTAAGACCCCTTGACTTTTTCCACATTTTGTTACATTACAGCCTTATTCTAAAATTGATTGAATAAATGTTTATGGGATATGTAGCTCTCTCATTCTTGAATGTATCAGTCTGAACCTTTGCACACACACAGCTGCCCTCTTGTGGACAACATCTAAATTACACCCAGCTTTCTATGTCAATGTATGGCCTTTCTTTTGCATTTCAAAGATGATGCAACAAAAATAAAAAACTATTCCAACATAGTTACAGATCAGCTGACGACCACCTGGGGACCTGTTCCACCACAGTTACAGATGTAGTCCATAGTATGGAACGTTTCCTGGGGCAGAGTTTCCTGAACCCTCAACTATAGCTACAGCGAGACAGCAGCTCTGTCCCAAGAGGATGAACTTTGACTTTCAGCCTTTGACCCTACTCTCATGTGAGTGTCTCATCTGATATGACAATCCTCACTTCAGTATGGCATGAATAAAGAAACCTGCATCTCAGCATTATATGGTCTCAGACTGGTTCTTTGTGTTATCATCGTAAAGTGTTAGTAGAAGCTTTACATCTGTTCCTGTCTTCATATTTCTCAGTGATTATACATTTTTTGCTTTATTTACGAATTCCGGAGATTTTGAGAGACATAATTTTTTTTTACAGACACATCATTACCATCTTTTAGCAAATATCTATCTCCTGTCTCATCGCTTTTAAGAAAGTGACAAATCAATAACGGCCAATATATAACTGTATCTCAACACCCTCTCTGATAAGATTACAGAAAGCTGTAGACTAGATCCACACGTCTGTACATACTTCAGCTGTGGGATGACATCACAATAACAACATTCTAAAGTGAACATGAACATAATTCAAACATTCAAAAAATTCCCTTGGCAGATGTGGCTAGGATCCTGTAGCACAGACAGACAGACGGCTGCTGCTAAAAGATAAGACTTCCAGCAGCAGCCTGTGTTTGTGTGTGGCGCCACAGAGAGAGGAGAGAGGGGTATGTTCTGTAGTCAGTGTATATTGTCACTGTGGGAGTGGTGTCAAGGGGTGCTGAAGGTGGGTGTGGTGCATGAATCAAGCGCAGGACGCAGAAGCTCAGTCCAAAAGACTTTAGTGCAATAATCACGTAGAAAATAAGCACAATAAGCCCGAAGGCGAAATAACGGCGCACACAGGCGTCAAACAAACGGCGCACAAACATGTGCGAAAACCCTCTCCAAAACACTGGAGGGAAGTACGTAGCTCCAACACGATAACAGAAGAGCAATCACACACATAGACAAACACAACTAACGAGAACTAAATAGGACACTAACGAGGACTAACAAGACACAGGTGTAAAACATAAAGACAAAACCAAACAAACATGAAACATCGATCGGTGGCAGCTAGTACTCCGGGGACGACGACCGCCGAAGCCTGCCCGAACCAGGAGGAGGAGCAGCCTCGGCCGAAACCGTGACAGTACCCCCCCCCCCCCCCCCCCACTTGACGCGCGGCCCCAGCCGTGCGCCGACCCCGACCTTGGGGACGACCAGGAGGACGCGGAGCAGGGCGCGCGGGATGGTCCCGGTGGAACTCCGACAGGAGAGATGGGTCTAGGATGTCCCTCCGCGGCACCCTGCACCGATCCTCCGGGCCGTACCCCTCCCACTCCACGAGATACTGGAGACCCCCCATCCGGCGTCTGGAGTCCAAGATGGACCAAACGGTGTACGCCGGAGCCCCCTCGATGTCCAGTGGGGGCGGAGGAGTCTCTCCTATCTCATTGTCCTGGAGTGGACCAGCTACCACCGGCCTGAGAAGAGACACATGGAACGAGGGGTTAATATTCTTATACTCAACAGGTAGATGTAACCTATAACACACCTCGTTCAAATCTTCTCAGGACTTTAAAGGGCCCCACAAATCGCCGACCCAGCTTCCGGCAGGGCAGGCGGAGGGGTAGGTTTTCTGGTAGAGAGCCAGACTCGATCTCCAGGTGCGTACACCGGCCCCTCACTGCGGTGGAGATCGGCGCTCGCCTTGTGATGAAGGACGTGCCCGCTGCAGGTGGACGTGGGCAGCGTTCCACGTCTCTTCCGAGCGCCTCATCCAATCATCCACCGCAGGGGCCTCGATCTGGCTCTGCTGCCACGGTGCCAGAACCGGCTGGTAACCTACACACATTGGAAGGGGGTTAGGTTGGTAGAGGAGTGGCGGAGAGAGTTCTGGGCCATCTCGGCCCAGGGAATGTACCGTGCCCACTCCTCAGGCCGGTCCTGGCAATACGACCTCAGAAACCTACCCACATCCTGGTTGACACGTTCTACCTGCCCGTTACTCTCCGGGTGGTACCCTGAGGTAAGGCTAACCGAGACCCCCAAACGCTCCATGAACGCTCTCCAAACACGGGAGGTAAACTGGGGGCCTCGATCAGACACTATATCCTCGGGTACCCCGTAATGCCGGAAGACGTGGGTAAATAGGGCCTCAGCGGTCTGTAGGGCAGTAGGAAGACCCGACATAGGGAGAAGACGACAGGCCTTTGAGAACCGGTCCACAACGAACAGGATGGTAGTATTCCCCTGAGAGAGGGGAAGGTCTGTCACAAAATCCACCGAGAGGTGGGACCATGGTCGTTGTGGAACGGGCAGGGGTTGTAACTTACCTCTGGGCAGATGTCGGGGTGCCTTACACTGGGCGCACACCGAGCAGGAGGAGACATAAACCCTCACATCCCTAGCCAAAGTAGGCCACCAGTATTTAGTGCTAAGGCAATGCACTGTCCGGCCAATACCCGGATGTCCAGAGGAGGGTGACGTGTGAGCCCAGTAAATGAGTCGATCCCGAATCTCGAGCGGAACGTACTTCCGACCCTCAGGTCACTGTGGAGGGCTGGGGTCGGTACGCAACGCTCGCTCGATTTCGGCATCGACCTCCCACACCACCGGTGCCACAAGGCAAGACTCCGGTAGTATGGGAGTAGGCTCAACGGACCTCTCCTCCGTGTCATACCGCCGGGACAGTGCATCTGCCTTACCATTCTGGGACCCAGGGATGTACGTGATTTTAAATATGAACCTGGTGAGAAACATACTCCATCGAGCCTGGCGAGGGTTCAGTCTCCTCGCTGCCCGGATGTACTCCAGGTTCCGATGGTCAGTCAAAATGAGGAAAGGGTGTTGAGCCCCCTCAAGCCAATGCCTCCACACCTTAAGGGCTTGAACTACAGCTAACAGCTCCCTGTCCCCAACGTCATAGTTACGCTCCGCCGGGCTGAGCTTCTTTGAGTAAAAGGCACAGGGGCGGAGTTTAGGTGGCGAGCCGGACCGTTGAGAGAGAACGGCCCCTATACCTGCCTCAGCCGCGTCCACCTCAACCTGAAAGGGTAATGCGGGATCCGGATGCGCCAGCACCGGAGCCGACGTAAACAGGTCCTTCAGTCTCCCAAAGGCCCTGTCCGCATCAGCTGACCACTGCAGGCGCACCGGACCCCCTTTCAGAAGGGACGTGATGGGAGCTGCCACCTGTCCAAAACCCCAGATAAACCTCCGGTAGTAATTCGCAAAGCCCAAGAACTGCTGCACCTCTTTTACAGTGGTTGGGGTTTGCCAATTACGCACAGCGGACACACGATCCACCTCCATTCTCACCCCTGACGCGGACAACCGATAACCCAAAAAGGAGACCGACTCCTGGAAAAACAGACATTTCTCTGCCTTGACATATAGGGTCGTGCTCCAACAGCCTCCTCAATACACGACGCACCAGGGTTACATGCTCGGCTCGGGTAGACGAGTACACCAGAATATCATCAATGTACACAACCACCCCTTGTCCCTGCATATCCCGGAAAATGTCATCTACGAAGGATTGGAAGACTGATGGAGCATTCATCAACCCATATGGCATGACAAGATACTCGAAATGACCTGACGTGGTACTAAACGCTGTCTTCCATTCGTCGCCCTCCCTAATGCGCACCAAGTTATACGCGCTCCTGAGATCCAGTTTTGTGAAAAACAGTGCTCCATGCAATGACTCCGTCATGGTCGCAATCAGAGGGAGTGGATAACTGTATTTCACAGTAATCTGATTGAGACCACGGTAATCAATGCACGGGCGCAACCCTCCATCTTTCTTTTTCACAAAAAAGAAGCTTGAGGAGGCGGGAGAAGTGGAGGGCCGAATGTATCCCTGTCTCAAAGATTCGGCTATGTAAGTCTCCATAGCTTTTCTCTCCTCTTGAGACAAAGGATACACATGGCTCCGTGGGAGCGCTGCTCCTGCCTGGAGATCAATCGCACAATCCCCCTGTCTATGAGGAGGCAACTGCGTCGCCCTAGTCTTGCTAAACACGAGAGCTAAATCCCCATATTCAGGCGGAATGTGCAGTGCGGGCACTTGGTTTGGACTTTCCACCGAAGTCGCCCCCACGGAAACACCCAGACATCGCCCCTCGCACTGAGCAGACCACCCATCGAGAGCCCTCTGTTGCCACGAAATAGCAGGGTTATGGGTGCTTAACCAGGGAATTCCCAGCACCACTGGGTACGCAGGAGAGTCAGATACAGCTGTATAGTCTCTTCATGACCCCCCTGCGCACACATCCTAAGTGGCGCTGTGATCTCCCTAATCAACCCCGACCCCAACGGGCGGCTATCTAAGGCATGAACGGGAAAAGGTTTGTCAACAGGTAGGAGAGGGATCCCTAAATCTACACAAAACTTCCGATCAACAAAATTCCCAGCTGCGCCTGAATCTACTAGCGCCTTATGCTGGGAATGAGGTGCAACCTGTGGAAAACAAACAGGTAGACAAAAGTGCGCAACAGAAAGCTCTGGGTAAGTGGGACGTCTACTCACCTGGGAGGCCCCCCCAGTGCGTGGCCTGTTGTCTTCTCCCCCGGAGAACCCTCCCCAGCACCTGGCCGCAGTGTGCCCTCCACGACCGCACTTGGTGCAGGAGACAGGCCCCCTCGGGCTCCTCCTCCTCCTTTCTCTAGCGCCGGCAACCCCGAGCTCCATAGGGCTCGGCTCGGAGGTGCCGGAGGGCGGAATGGACGGACCCCCCTCGGGACGTCCACGGGTGGCCAGCAGGGTGTCCAGACGGATGGACATATCGACCAACTGGTCGAAGGTAAGATGGGTATCCCTGCAGGCCAACTCACGTTGAACGTCCTCCCGTAGGCTACATCGGTAATGGTCAATGAGGGCCCGTTCATTCCACCCTGCGTCCGCCGCTAGAGTCCGGAACTCTAGAGCAAACGCCTGTGCGCTCCTCCTCCCCTGTCTCAAGTGGACTAGACGCTCCCCCGCCGCTTTGCCCTCAGGTGGATGGTCGAACACGACCTTGAAGCGACGGGAGAACTCGGCGTAGGAGATGGTGTTGGCGTCCATCTTCCTCCACTCGACGTTAGCCCACTCCAACGCCTTGCCCGTGAGACAGGAGATGAGGGCGGAAACGCTCTCGTGTCCCGAGGGCACCGGGTGTACAGTGGCCAGGTAGAGCTCCACCTGCAGGAGGAACCCCTGACACCCGGCAGCTGTCCCTTCATACGCCCTTCGGGAGCGAGAGCCGAATCCCCCTGGGTTCCGGACCTGGGACTGGTGGACCGGCCGATGGGGTTGGCAGAGTAGGTGGAGGCGTGGGTACCCCGCTGGCCTCCCATCGGTGCAAGGTGTTGATGACGTCCTGTAGAGCGGTCCCCAGTTGTCGTATCTGGTCATCTTGGCCGCGGACATGCTCCTCGAGCGACTCAGGCGTAACTGCAGATCCTGCTGATTCCATTCTGGTGTGTGATTCTGTCAAGGGGTGCTGAAGGTGGGTGTGGTGCATGAATCAAGCGCAGGACGCAGAAGCTCAGTCCAAAAGACTTTAGTGCAATAATCACGTAGAAAATAAGCACAATAAGCCCAAAGGCGAAATAACGGCGCACACAGGCGTCAAACAAATGGCGCACAAACATGTGCGAAAACCCTCTCCAAAACACTGGAGGGAAGTACGTAGCTCCAACACGAAAACAGAAGAGCAATCACACACAAAGACAAACACAACTAACGAGAACTAAATAGGACACTAACGAGGACTAACAAGACACAGGTGTAAAACATAAAGACAAAACCAAACAAACATGAAACATCGATCGGTGGCAGCTAGTACTCCGGGGACGACGACCGCCGAAGCCTGCCCGAACCAGGAGGAGGAGCAGCCTCGGCCGAAACCGTGACAAGTGGCGCATATTATTACACCTTAATTAGCTCTGTAGTCTTCTGTACTTCTTTAATACAAAAAGTTTATTAATTAGATCTTGTAATATTAACCACAAGTGGATTCACTGCATTCAAAGTGATTGAGGATAAAACCGAAAGGTTTTACAACTCATCCGGTTGATAGGGCCCTGGGATGAAGCTTCTATTGAAGCCAGAGACACTGTTTGTATGAGGCGTCACAGAGAGAGTGGTATAACTGTAGTGTGTATAGGCTTTGTCCCATATGACACCCTATTCACTTTACAGTGCACTACTTTTGAACATTAGTGCACTATATAGGGAATAGGGTGACATTTGGGACGTAAACATTGTCACTGTAGGAGTGGTCCTTATAATACCACTCCTACTGAAACAGTGGGCTGTGTGGCGCCTGTTGTCTTCATATAGATAGTGATCAATGGTATTATTGATGAATTATTCTAAACTCTATGCAGTACTATTTACCATCTCCACCCTCTACCTTACCTAACTGTTTATTCACTGGGCTGGCCTTTTGACATTATCTGGAATAGAATTTGTTCAATCAGCATTTCAGATAGTATCAGAATTTGTTGTTACACTTTATAGGCTTCCATATGTCTCCTGGTAATATAGGGGGTGTTCTCATTGGTTAATGCGTAACTAAGTAGTCCTACATACCACCTGTGGGTCATCATACCACCTGGGGGGGGGGGGGGGCTGAGATCTTTATAAACAGCTAGAGGGCACAGTAAGGACCATCAGCAGTTGGGTGACTAGAGAAAGACAGACGTCCATCTCAAGAATATACAGGTAGGACATTGTCTGTTGTTTTCTCTCGCTCTCTCTCGTGAATCAGTTGATTGCAGACAGTGAGTGGCTTTCCTAAAAACGCTTTTAGATTTCCACAGCAGCAGATATAGAAATGGACTATCAGTTTGGTTGAGTCCACTGGATGACTTCTCAGCAAGGTTTGCTGTCAGAACTGAATGTGTCACACCATGGGACTGACAGTTTCCATATCAAGTGTGATCTCCCTCCATCCAGGATACGCTGGTGTGTAAATCAAACACACTTCTGAAAAGCTACTATCTGCAATTGAATAAGAGCCTGTATTTCTGCTGATTCAGGATTGTTCTAGCGTGTCTTCCATTTATTTCTCTCTCTCTCTCTCTCTCTCTCTCTCTCAATTCAATTTCAATTTCAATTTAAGGGCTTTATTGGCATGGGAAACATATGTTAACATTGCCAAAGCAAGAGAAGTAGATAGTAAACAAAAGTGAAGAAAACAATAAAATGAACAGTAAAAATGACACTCAGAAAGTTCCAAAGGAATAGAGACATTTCAAATGTCATATTATTGCTATATACAGTGTTGTAACAATGTGCAAATAGGTAAAGTACAAAAGGGAAAATAAATAAACATAAATATGGATTGTATTTACAATGGTGTTTGTTCTTCACTGGTTGCCCTTTTCTTGTGGCAACAGGTCACAAATCTTGCTGCTGTGATTGCACACTGTGGTATTTCACCCAACAGATATGGGAGTTTAACAAAATTAGATTTGTTTTCACATTTTTGTGGGTCTGTGTAATCTGAGGGAGGTATGTGTCTCTAATATGGTCAGCTCAGTTTCCACATCATTTCTTACCTAATCTCTCTCTCTCTCTCTCTCTCTCTCTCTCTCTCTCTCTCTCTATTCCTCCAATAACTAATCTGTTAATACTGATAATATGTCCTGAACTTTCACCTCTATTTTTTACTCCTGTCTGAATACAGTTTGTAGTGTTAGTTTCAAGCTCTTATGGACACCCATCTGACATGTTTACATCTTCCCCTCCTCTCCTCTCCTCTCCTCTCCTCTCCTCTCCTCTCCTCTCCTCTCCTCTCCTCTCCTCTCCTCTCCTCTCCTCTCCTCTCCTCTCCTCTCCTCTCCTCTCCTCTCCTCTCCTCTCCTCTCCTCTCCTCTCTCTCAGACAGTGTACCATGGCCTCTCTCTCTCTGTCCCTTGGTCTGCTGGTGCTGTGCACCCTGGCTCTTGTACAATGTGGCCCGTATGACGACCGCGTCAGGGTGTGGGGCATTAGTGCCACCAACCTGAAAGGAGACCTCCTCTCCCAGCCAGACCCCTACGTCAAGGTGAATTTATTCATTTATTTAACCTTTATTTAACCAGAACAGTCAGTTAATGAAACGTTGATATTTACAATGAGGGACTGGCAGGTGGGGTGGTAAAACAGAAGAAGTACAGTAATGTTACAGACAGGACAGGCATCATAACACAAAAGGACAGAGACACAGCAATAATCAACCACTAAACAGTAGACAGTCAGCAGTCATTTGTTTGGATATCAAGTAGGCTACAGTGACATGGACCATGAAAATGTCAGTGATTGGCTTGTTACTTGTTAGGTGAATGAACAAACAAACGAATTAACAGATAAATGAACAAACAAATGTATTAATTAATTTTAAAATACATGTAGATGTTCCTCAGCCAAGTGAGCCAACTATACATACATTACAAATCATAATAAAACATGTTTAATAATAAAAGTCTACTGACAACATTATCTTCCTTAGGTGTGGTGCGGCCCAGCCTTCGGTGGCATGACCAGCGTTCTGAAGAACCAGGCCAACCCCAACTGGCCCGGCGAGTTCAACTTCCTAGACATCATCGACAAGTCTGTCCTGAAGCTAGAGGTGAGTTTCCCCACTTACTATGTAAAGTGCTTTGAGCAATGGAAAAGCAATATGTAAATCCAATCGATTATGATGATGAGGATGAGGAGGAAGAGGAGGAGGAAGATTATTACTAGTACGATTATTATTATTATTATTATTATTATTATTATTATTATTATTATTATTATTATTAGGTGTGGAATGATAACGTCGGACCAGATAACCGCCTGGGAACCTGCACCACCACCATCCGCCGAGGAACACACATCGAGACCTGCCACCTGAAGAAAGGCACCGTCTACTACACCTACACCTACGACTACAGCCACTAGAAGGAACAGAATGATGGTTAGTTAGTAACCTATAACCTTTATGACCTTGTGTCTGATTGGTTCTCTCACTCTGTCACTCATGTATTCACTTCCTTACAACGTCAATAAAAAAAAAAAATGCTTTACAGCAAGATGGCCTCAGTCTGGCTTTATCATGTTTCTGTATTATTTTATGCTTTCCCAGAATATGTCTTGGATTGGTCCATAACATAATAAAAATGATAAATCAATATTTCTACTAAATTTGAGAGTTGATGTCAAAGCTTTTTACCATTCGACATTTACCTTTTACAGTATAACATTATTTTGCTTAAACCTGAGTTTAATATAACTTTTTGTTATTCTATGGTTTGGCCTTCATTCATAATCAGCGTATCAGATAAATAAATACATTCCCTGTGGTGATAATGAAGTCCTTATGTTATGTTATCTTAAGGCTCCAAACTGGTATGAAGCTGCAGCATCACCATCAGCACAGGAACCCACAAAGTCACTGAGCCCGCCATTAGACCTACAGTTTCAGATGAGACACCTCTAAACATTTGTAAAAAAAAAATGTTACATTTTGGTCAAGAAATGCGTAAGTGTTTTAGGTTCTCATGTCATTGGAGCATCAAAAAACATACTTAATGCATGTGGAAATGAACTGAACGATCATTCACAATGGTATATTATCATCAACAAAAAATATTACTTTATCACATCAGATGGGGGCGCTGTTGTATAGAGAAGTGCTTGCTAGGAGTCATAAAGCTTCTCAGAGTAGGACTGCTGAGTTTTTCCTTTCAGATCAGGGGAGACCTGTTCCTCATTCATAAAGTGGATCAGATTAGGAGTGCTGATCTAGGATCAGGTTTTCTCAGTCCAGAACAATCTGCTTCAATATGATCTAAAAAGCAAAACTTTTATGAACACGCTTTATGAATACGGGCATAGATCAGGGCCCATGTCCACAAAGCGCCTCAGAGTAGAGAGAACGCTTTCCAACAACAGGTGGTTTCTGTTGACTGTCTAATGGATGTTCTTGGAACAGGAAAACAGCTGAGATCAGAGCATTATATTAACATTTGAGTCATTTAGCAGACGCTCTTATTCAGAACGACTTACAGAGGACAGAGGAGTCGAGGAGAGGACAGACTTTTGCCCAAATGAGAATCTCCCAGGGAATAAAACGTATCTCAGTGACCGGGAAAACTAATGAGTGGTTGAGAGGTCGAGGAGAGTGTTAATTCGTTAGTAGGTGAAAGGAGGAGTCTGCTCTCCTCCTGGATTACCTACTTCAGCAGAGGATTCACAAGAGTATCCTTTCGGGTTCTCGAGTATCCTTTCGGGTTCTAGCTCGGAAGTGTTTTAAAATCCACCTCACCCCCTTTGAATCAGCTGTTGTTTTCTGGAAGGAGAAAAGCATGCTACTTATACTTTTATCTATAAAATGTCTTCTACAACTAATAGCTACTTTTATTTGTATCACTTTACACATTTATTTTGGGATTACAATGAGCCAACGAGGATGGTATGATGGTATGTCTCCACATGCCTGACTGAGATGTGAGGTCATTCCTCAGGATCTTCGGTGTGTGCGTGCGTGCGTGCATGTTTGCCAATGGTATGATATCCAGGTTGCGTCTCCCCTGCTTCTACAACAACACTACTGAGGCAGAATTTGACTTTATTCAAGCAAGGTAGTTATTGATGGCTGATAGAGAATTGATAAAAATTGGTGGGAAATTACTACACTGTCTCAAGCTGATTAGGTGATGGAGCCTGGCCAATGGGAAGAATATTGGTATCACTGGTATCAGTAACAACAAGACAACCTATTGGATAATCACAGTGTGGTAATTATAACGTGACAGCCCATTGGATAATCACAGTGTGGTCATTAATAATGTGACAGCCCATTGGATAATCACAGTGTGGTCATTAATAATGTGACAGCCCATTGGGTAATCATAATACTGGTCTGTAGTATGGTAACACATGTTTGTTGTTTGCTTTAGCTATAGACAATGAAAATGTATTGTACATCAATCAATCTCTGTGACAGTAATGTCCCATGCCTTGTCACACCTAACCAAACCACAGGACTGACTGACTCTCTCTCTCTCCATGCTGGGAATGTTTGGTTAATGCTGGGAATTGTATGAGCGAGTGTTGTCTGTAGTTAGATCGCCTGGTTTTCCTTTTTCTATGTCTGATTAAGTTATTTGTATTTTTTTTATGATAGGTATATTGTATTTCTTGTTGGAATTGCCCTGGTTTTGGTGGGGATGGCGACCCACATGGGGATGCGGTCCCTGTAACTTCGGCATTGGCTTCAGGTGTGTTACTGAAGCTACTGTCACTGTGGAGGAGTTTCTGGTCGCCGATCGGATGGTTGAGCATGGCATACTTCTTAAAGGTGTGTTTATTCAAGTTACGCCGCTTTTTTTCTCCGTTAAAGGGTAACGATTTCGAATGTACCGCCGTTTATTCCCAATGAGCTATTGAAGCGCAAGTTATTGCGGTTTGGGAAGTATGCAAGTTGTGGGCAGATCAGCTTCAGATAGGCTCCACGGTTACCAGGGGGGCGTCGGTGAGGCAGAGACGGGATGAAGACTTTGGGGGGTGTTCTAGGCTCTGATGTCTTTCAGAAAAATAACTGGGAGGGTGTAGTGGAGAAGGTGTGTGCCAGATTGTCTAGGTGGAAATGGGTGCTACCCCAGCTGTCTTATAGGGGAAGGGTGCTGGTAGCTAATAACCTAGCCGCCTCTACCCTGTGGCACAGATGAATGATTTTACAGCCCCCGTGGGGCCTGATACAAGAGCTTCAGAGGACCCTTGTCAATTTCTTCTGGTTTGGACAGCATTGGATTAAAGCTGCAGCCCTGTACCTTCCACTGCACCAGGGTGGGCAAGGCCTGGTGGACATTTCTTCTAGGATCATGGCTTTCCGGCTTCAAGCAGCCCAGAGACTGTTGTACAGTGACGGTTCTAGCTGGGTCGATACAGCCCACACATTGATGAGGAGAGCGGGCTGTTTGGGCTTAGACAAGCACCGTTTCCTCTTAAAGCTAGAGGGGGGTGGTTTGTCTGGCCTGACTCCATTCTATGAGTCTGTTATGCTGCTTGGAGAGTTTGTCATGTCCCATAAGGCCATACGATAATCTCGCCCACTGAGGAAGGTCGTAGCTGAGGTCTGCGATTCCTTGCCAGTACTTCATCGGCAGTATGTGATTGATACACTCCGATCGGTGGAAGGAGGGTCTGGATCATGTGTTCCCTGCGCTGAATGTTAGTGCTGCGGCTGGGGCATTAGAGGAGGACGTGGGGATGCTGCTTTCCTTTGATACCCCAGAGCTGGGGGAGTTCAAGGTGGTGGGAAAGAAGGCCATGTACATAATATGTGTAAAAGTGTCCCGTGCTTCATCCCTGGAAGGGGTAAAATCGACGAGGTGGGCGGGTGTGTTTGGTCCAGGTGCCTCCCCAAAAGGCTGTTGGCGGTCTTTATATAAACTGCCTATTGATAAGATGATGGCTGACCTCCAATGGAGGATAATACATGGAGCTATAGCCACCAACACACATCTGGTACACCTGGATCCTACTGTTGGGGAGGGATGTCCATTCTGTGCTGAGTCTGAAACTCTGGCACATCTGTTCTTACAGTGTCCCAGGTTGGTCGGGATGATTGACCTGATCACTGGTTGGTTCTCAGCTCTGGAAGAGGTTTTCTCTTCCCAACTCTTGATATTGGGGCCAAAGTACAGGTTCAGTGTAAGGGGTGTAGTTATTTTGCCTAACCCTCTGCTGTTACTACAGTGGATGGCAGCATAGGTCTCTCCAACACAGCTCCTCTTTAAATGTTCAATTTCTTGTTTTTGTTTTTACCATGAAATCTTCATTTAATCAGAACCAGTCTTTTTGATATGACATAACAGTTTTATATTTACCAATACCATATGTTGGTGTAGAGGAAATCATGCGTGTAGTAGAAAAACAAAATTAAAAAGGAATTAGTGCAGGTGCAAAAATAAGTGAACCCCAAGTTGCATTGGTTAAATCAAGTAGGTAAGTAGAATCAGGTGGGTAAATAATTAGCTCCCAAATGAACTAATCACAGGAGAGATCGTTAGGAAAGAGTTTGGGCGGGACTCTGATAAATAGAGATAAGAAACCTGGTCAGTTTGGTGTTACCCATCCAGGTGAATGCAAAGCACACCATGCCGAGAGGAAATTAGATCTCAGAGGACATCAGGACGAGGGTAGTGAGAGCGCATCAGTCTGGGGAAGGCTATAAAATCATCTCAAAAAGATTTGAGCGCCATCAGTCCACTGTGAGGCAAATAATTTACAAATGGAGAGCATTTAACATGACAGCAACTCGGCCGAGAAGTGGACGCCCTTCCAAAATATCCCCAAGAGCCACAAGAACAATAATAAATCAGGTAAAAGCCAACCCAAACATAACATCTAGAGATTTGCAGACCTCCCTTGCTGCATCTCAGGTAACTGTGCATGCTTCAACAATAAGAAGAACACTGAATGGAAATGCCGTTCATCGGAGGGTTGCTAGGAAGAAGCCTCTGCTGTCAAAAAAGAACCAAACTGCCCGTCTTAACTTTGCCAGAGATCACCTGGACAAACCTGAAGGTTTCTGGAAGTCCATTCTCTGGACTGATGAGTCCAAAATTGACCTTTTTGGTTACAATCAACACCGCAATGTTTGGCGAAAACCCAACACTGACTACCACCAAAATAACCTCATCCCAACAGTCAAGCATGGTGATGGGAATGTCAAGAACTGGGGCTACTTTTCCTCCTCTGGACCTGGACGACTCCACATCATTAAGGGAACCATGAATTCTGAGGGATACCAGGAGATTATTGAACAGAACGTCAGGCCATCAGTCGAGGAACTAAAGCTGGGCCGAAAATGGGTCTTCCAACAAGACAACGACCAAAAGCATTCAAGCAAATCTACCAAAGAATGGCTCAGGAGAAAGGAGATTTGTCTTATGGATTGGCCAAGTCAAAATCCTGACCTAAATCCAATCGAGATGCTGTGGCAGGAACTGAAGCGGGCAGTTCATGCCAGACACCCCTCAAACCTCAATTGAATGAGTTCTGTAAGGAGGAGCGGGCAAAAATCCC